GATGCCAGCTCTCAAAAGCGAGCAAGGTATAAAGGAGGTTCTGCCCAGACATTTCTAATCCTAGGGGAAGAGGTGGCATCCTGCCAAAGTAATTCTGGAAATGAGAACGCTCATTGAAAATTAAAGGACAAAGGTCCCTTCTGACAGCGTCCCCCTACCTGCAACGCTACGGTCGTTTCACCTGCACCGTTATCGAAACGCCACGGTGCTGGCGCACGCGCTAAGCCTCCTCTGCTCTCTTTCAGACAAAACCTCCGAGTCCCGTTTGCCACCGAAGCTCCTTCGCCCTGGCCTGCCCTGCAGCCGGCAGGATCTGCCTTCTCCCGCTCCGCCTTCCCCCTTCTCCCGCTGGCCCGCGCCAGGAGCCGGGGCAGGTGCCGCAGTCCTTGGAGCGGGCATCGCCAGGAACGATAAACTGTAAGAAACCCTGCATCCCCCAACCCCGTTCTTCCGTGGAAAATAATTTGACTTTTGGCATTTATTTTTGTTTAACATAATGTAGGGAAAGCATACTTGAATGATAATTGCGCACAAATACTTGCTGTCAAGCGAGACAAGAGAAACTCCACTGAAGCAGCGCGGGAGGCAGCACGATCTTCCCTACGTTTTTTTTTTTTCTTTTCTCCTCTCTCTGCTTTCCAGCACGTCAAGCAGAAGCTACCGCACGCCAGAAGGGCACTTCTGTTTCAACCAGCTCCTTTTTCCCCACGCCTCCCTGCCGAGTCCCTCGGCGGGCAGCTGCAGGCTTCCTTCTCCCCTGCGTAGGTCTTCGTCTCGTCCCAAGTTCTTTCCCACCAGCAATCCTTGCCCCCGTCCCCTGCGTTGTTAACATTTCCTATGGCTTGCTTTTAAAAGCTGCCTGCTTTTCCATTGCCTAGTACCCGCAACTAATCCAAGCGTCTTGCTGCAGGGGTTAACAAGCAGCCAGAAGTTTGGGATCTTGTAAGTAAATTAAAATTAGGGGGAGAAAAGGACAATTGCTAGTTTACTCTATGGAGCTGGCCAGCTTTCAGATGCATGGGGAAAAATATTTATGGGGTTGAGAGAGAAGATGAGCATTTTTACTCAGAATACATTTTTTATTCACTAACAGAGAAGAACCTAGTGCTGATGCAACCCCTCCTTGACATACCGGTAAGGAAACTTCTAGGAACAATGGTGACTTTAACTGCAGAAATCTGGGGGTCTGCTTCAATATTAGGTACATCAGTTCTGATACAACTCCAACTTAAAATATGTTACAAAATAAAAAGAAAGAAAAAAAAAAGCAGCAGCAAGTGCTTTTAATCATGGGATGCTAAACAATCAGTGCCCTGCATGATCTTATATATTTTTATACAACCATGAATACCTTTATTTATCTAGAATTCTATTTTTTGGTAATTTTTTTCACTTGTGTCTGCTTTTTTTGCCATTTATGACTTCAGCCCTTCAACAAAAAGCCCCAAGTTTTGCAATAACTATGCCATTTTGTTTCTGGTCTTTCTAACTCCTTTCTGGTGAGGCAGCCTGTTTTCTTTATGTTTTTCTTTTTCATGAACTGAGGCTCAGGAAATTCTCATATGATGTGCATCTCAGGGGAAGGGGCATCTCTGTTTATCTACAGGATGGAAATTGTTTAGCCTTTGTGGTTTCTGAAAGATCTCTGTAGACAAAATGGAGCTCAAAATACAGCCTAATCCACAGTGAAATATTAGTTCTCCTTTCCTGTCAGCTTTCCTAAACCAAGATTTCGCCTCGTCTGTGAACATTCCCTTGAAGAGGGCAGCTTGGATGGCTTCCATGTCCTAACTCTTTGATTTGTGGCAGCTAAGATCGAGTGGGAATAGAGCTTGTTACAGTAATCCATCAGTGGTATAACACATGCAGGAACATCCCAAGGAGGGAGACCTTGGGCGTCACGGGGAAGGTTAAGGCTATAATTTCTCTTAATGTGATTTTGTCTGGCCTTTTCAGAATTTTGTCCGCTTTGGGCAGGGCCACTAGATCAGCAAACCACAGACTGAAAGACTGTGCTCAATTTTGTATGCTCTTAGACCTAAAAATTTTTTGTAAGTGACAGCATTAGGTTAATCTTTCTTCCACTTTCTAAGACTGAAAAATAGAAGATTCGCTTGAGAGTACACCATACATGGTGGTGTGGATTTTGGAAAATAAGGGCTCTTCTCTTTTACAGTAATTTTCATTTTTTGATTAACCTGGTCCCAATCTAAAAAAAAAAGTGAAATAACTTCTTGACAATGAGAAAAAGCAGGAAATAAGAAACCAATATACCTAAATGTTAAGAGATGAAGAATCACTCAAAGAAAAAAAAACATTAAAAAAAATCAAAACCTTCCAAACATGAGAAACCAACCTCAGTGAAGGCAATAAAACAGAGCCTAAACATAGGCTGTACAAGAGGAAAATTAGGAGAACAGAGATGGAATCCAAAGAGCACATATCTAAGGATATAAAACAAAAGCCACAAATTCCTTTATGGTATCCAAAAAAATGAAAATGCATAGCATCACTGGATCACTGGGGATGAAAGAAACCGAGGAAGACAAAGTTAGGGAAGGGAAGCAAGATGACTTCTTTTCATCTAAATTCACCACAGAAGGTGTTGGGGAGAAACCTCTTCTGGCTCCTGCTTTTATTTTTCTATATTTCATTTTTTAATAGACATGAAGTAATAGCAAGGTTCGAATACTTGCTAGAAGAAACAAATGCGTTGGAGGAGGATGGTATCTTACAAAGCAGTAAACAAGCAGAAGACAAGAATTCTGACAGCCATTAAAATAAAGAAATTGAGCCACTGGCTAAAATGAGTATGCTTTCGCTACACTTAGTAACTTAAAGAATCAGAGGATAGCAAAAGCTTCACCTATCTTTACAAAAGCAGCAAGGCTGATTGAGGAGACTGTAGAGCTCCGAGCTTTATTGCAATACCTGGTAACCTAGCTGAAAGGATGAATAACAGGAAATTTAATACATCAAAATAATCACTAGATTCTGAATATGTTTATAAAATAGTGGACAGATAAGAGCAAGTAAAGAAAAGCAGACTTTCAAAATCTTTACATGAGCCTCATGGGACGCTACCTATGGAGTGTGAGGTTAAGAGAGCAAAAGAAAAGAAGGAACACATATTGATTCCCATCCGATGACAGGGTTAACAGCAGGTGTCTCATGGTTTGTACTTTGTATTTCAAAGTTATCTGGAAACAAGGAAGCACACTGAGAGGGTAAAATCTACAGATGGCAAGAAATTATTCAGATTAGTCCTGATTTAAGATAATTAGGGGTTTGAGAGATAAGCAGTAAATCTGCTTCAGCAGATCATGGTCATTACTGTAGATCACAATAAAGTGCACACTGCAGGCAGCATTGGACTCCTTTGTGCATCAGGCTGAGTTCTGAATTGCCCGATCCGCTCAGGAGACTGCCTGGATGTCCTTGTGAACTGCCCAAAGACGACTAGTGTCAAAAGAATAGCAGCAGTCAAAAAACACAAAGAAAACCTCAGGACATCTAACAAAAGATAGCGCAAGCAGAACTGACAAACATAGTATGCGTATAACATTTATAAGGAGAGGCTGGAATACTGGGTTTGCTATTGTTTAACCCATTCTAAAAGGTAAGATGGAGACAAAGTGTGGAAATGGTGTCAAAAAAAAGATGTCGAAGGATTATTTGAGACTTAGACAAGGATCTGAGCAGCCTGGTTTAATTTGATCTTGCACTGAAAAGGGTGATGGAGCAGATGACCTTCAGAGGTCCTTTCCAACCTAAGTTATTCTACAAAATAGAGAGATAAAAAAAGTTTCAACTGTTCAATATATTCAGACAGTAAATCCTGAAATTGGCAGATCCAACAGTAGACAAAATTAGATTATGAATTCATTGTCACAAGAACTGCGCTAGGAGGCAAACTAAGATTTGATTTTTGCAGTTTTTTAAAAATTGTATACAGGGTTCCCCTCCCTCAAATACCCAAACAAGGTGTCTTTTGGAAAAGAAATCATTCCTCCATTTGATGCATATAAAGAGTATTATGGCTCATGAAATAAGATTTTTCCAGGAGAGATCTCCTCCTTCCTTTGAAGCTTCCTGTACTTTCAAGCAGCTGGTATTGGCCACTGTCTGAATCAAGACACTGGACTAGATGGATAGTAGTATTAACTGCTGTAATTATTTCCATTTTCACATGGGACATGACTCCAAACCAGAATTTTCATGTTTGTTATCTCTTGATGATACTCTGTCATGTTTACTCCATTAATGAAATAATATACTGTTTTTAAGGGTCATCCATGATATCTCACACTCTGAGAGCTCCAAGAGTGAGGTTACAGTGTTTCTATCATGCCTGCTAGCAGCAGCAATAAATAATCTGCATATCAAATTGAGCCACTGACCAGACCTATGCATTAGCCAAGGGATTACCACTTCTTAAAAAGAGGTGCTGCCACAAGTTTCCTTTATTTCTATTTATCTTCTCTAACTCCTAATCATCAAAATTATTGTCAGGAGGAAGACAAAAAAGGAGTTAAACAGAATATTTCAAGGATACTTTCATTCTGGAAACGATTTTATTACCAAGGAAGTTCATTCCTTCCATTGCCCTTAAAATACAATCAGGCATCTGCCTTAAAAAAGAGATTCCCCCAAACCACAGAATAAATGTATTTGAAGATACTGGTCAAATAAAGTTTTAACCTGAAAATAGTTCCTAATAGATATATACATTAACGATGCATATAACATTAAAATGGCTGTCATAATGTGGCTGCCTATTAGTGCCTTGATGAGGAAACCACCTGACAGACGGAGATAAAGCTCAGAAGAGAGAGTACTGGCATCTTTGAAATTCAGCCGGGATGACACAATGAATCCACATTCATAAAAAGTGCTGTGACTAGGGAGGAACAAAATCAAAGAATAAAATAAAATCTTAAATGTTTCACTTTAAAGAGGATCTTTAAAAACATATATATATATTTACCCACTACACGTACCTTAGCTGACCTAGTGATGGCCCCGATCTCTGAATAAAGATCAGTGCTGTCCGGGAACTTTTCCACCACCATAGTGCAGACGTGGTGCAGGAGGGACTGCTTGTGCACCGTGTCTTTGACTTCTGGAACCTTCTCGAGGTAGCTCAACTCAAAAGCTTTGACCTGGAAGGGGGAAAAAAAGGGAAGAAATTATAAATAAAAATGTTTACTCTTTCCCATGCAGATCAGTAGACAAAAATGATTACCAAGTAGGGACAGAGGGGAAAGAAGAAGAAGTATCCTACAAAAGACACCTATTGCTTTTATTTATTTTTAACTTGCTGAAGAGTAGGCCTAAAATCAGTCCATCCGCAGTGAAATGACTCCTGACACAGTTCTCACAATTTGAATGGAGAGCATCCACACTAAACTCAAGGGAGTTACACCAGAAGTGTGCCTAGCTCCACATTTCGTTCAGGTTATGCTGAAAGACACAAAGAGCACTCTGACACACAATAAAAAGAAAAAGTTGGTTCTGTTTTCTAAATTACTTTTCTGGTACAAAATAAATACTTGGTTGCAACTGTCATAATGCTTTTGATTTCTGTTTTTTGAAGGAAAAAACTGGGACATCAGGCTTACGTTGGTTCCATTCAGAAAGTTCCCAATGGCTAGTAGAGTAGAAAGGATAAATCCCAAAGTTTTATTGTGCTCCAGTTGGTCCATTCCTTCCTTCAGGTCTAGAAGTGGTTCTGCAACCTCCTGCAATGAGAACAGAAACAAGAAAGTGAAGGCTGCAGTTGGCTATAGCTGCTTTGAGTTTTTAATTCTACGGTTTAGATTAATTACTGCAAAAAGTTCCTGAACTGGCGTCTCGCAGAGTGCAAACTGGCCATGTGTGCTGGCTTTCTTCCATGTTCCAGCTAATAAATCACAGGCAAGGACAGCAAAAAAATACATAAAATACTTTCCTAATGTTGCTTCTTTATGTGTGCAATAGCCTTACTTGTCCTGGGGATTATTCTGTGATTTCAAACAGGAGAATCAGAGAAGGGGCTGCTGCATTTGAGTTAGATGCATGAACATCCCCCTGCCCCAACTGATAAAAAAGCTTCTTATAGCTATTTTTTCTAATCTTTGAAAAACAAACAAACAAAAAGTTAGCATGCTAGCTGACTGGACATTTGTAGCCTGACCCTAAAGATTTATTCAAATGATGGCCACCTCTGAGTTTTAGATATGGTTTTGTGCTTGTGTGACTTTAAAACTGAAAAAAACCCCAAACCAACCCTCTGTAAACATCAAGCTTTACAAGTGTTCTCATTTTAATCTTTTAACTTAATGCCTCTTCCATCCACACGTTATCTGAGTATAGGTATGTAAACTGATAAGGCTTGGAAACATAAATTCTGTTCCATTACCTCGGGAAGTGAACTACACCAGAGAGTTCAAAGGAAGAGGGTGAGGGTAATTGAGTTGACGGAGCTTATTTCTATGTCTTTGTGTGAGGCCCAGGGTTATTTATTTTGTATGCACAGTAACAGTTCACATTGTTTCTATCTCCAAATGCCATCCAAAGCATCCGTGAGCAGCATTCTTTTCCCAAATTATTACACTCTTTATGAGCCAAAAAGCCAAAATTAAGCTGTTATTTTAGACGAAGAGGCAAAATAGCCGAGAACTTCACTCTCTTGGAGAAATACAATGGGCCATTCAACAACTGTAGTGATATTTTACCATAAATAAGAGCACAAAGATGAAGGAAACATGCATTGCTAGTCACCAGAGAACAATTCATCTCTTGAAAAGAAAAGAACATGGCAAATTTGAGACAAATTAAGAGATGCTATAGTGAGCAAAGTAATTTATACATCGGAGGAGAGGTGCTAAATAATCCAAGACTTTATCAAGTTAAACTAAAATCAATAAACTGCTACACGGAATTCTTTGAGTTGCTTTAAAGTCAGGAGTGATTTAGTCTGTTTTGCTGCATTATGGGGTGAATCAAACTGCTCTGCATCTGCTGTAAACACAGGCTTTTGAAGTATTTTACTTGTATCAATTTGCAAACTGTTAAAAAAATAATTCCTAAAAGGTTAATTTAAAACATTCTGAGGGTGAATAAAAAGGTAGCATAAAAGGCTTCCAAAGCAGGCCATACTGTAGCCCTTCATTTAGCTATCTACATGCAAGTTATCCAAGCTTAGACTTTCTTGTACCTACTACACCTTTATAATTACTCTTTATTTTTTATTTTATTGTAGCATTAAAAAGCAATAAACCCCAATGTGCTAGATACTGTATAATCAGATGAAATACCCATTCTTGCTCCCTATAAAACTCACCTTCTACCTAAAGCGGGCAGATACATAACACGGAGCTACCACATATCCTTAGATACCGCATATCCCTATTTATCATGTTTTTATATTTCACCTAAAAAACTATGCTGGAATGAAATTTGAGGATTGGTCCAAAATTTCTGGCTGTGAGACATGTGATAATGCCTGATAAATGTTTGATGCACATGCACAAATGAACTCAACTATAGGGGTGCAATGAATCTTTTTGAACGCTTATTTCTCTAGCACAGTATCTCCAGGGAGACTAGAGTCAGGAGTAATCTTTCTGCTTAGAAGAGAAACTGAAGCAAGCCCTTTTCTTTACCATTTCTACTATTCTCATTTCTACACCAGCTTATATTCATTTATGATCCTTTAAAGTTGTCAGCAATAAGGATATATTTCCCCACAGTGACCTTAAGAAAAAAAAATACCTGATTTAGGACAACTAAAAATTCTATTCCTTTTTCTAAGACCATTAAACTCCCTTTGAGATAATGAAATTTGACAGCATCTGCATCATAAATAGTTCAGTACAAAGAACTAGCAATCAAAAGTCTGAAAATGAAGATTTAAAGTTGAAACTCTACCTCTTTTGTCTGTGCCTTTAAAATATGATACCAAAAGAAAGGTGAGAAAAATTATTGTTCCACTGATGACCTTCAGTAGGCATCCAGTGCCTTAGAAACATGTTAACATTTCAAAACAGTATACGCATTATCAAAGAGATCATTTGGAAAGGGTTTTCCTTTTTTATTTTCTGTAAAGAGCAAAGAATGAGTATTCATTCATCCAGTTCAGCCCCTCACAGTCTGAGGCTGCTCCCTACAAATGTACCCTGACTTGCTTTACTTAATTAAATTCAATCCAAGAAAGATGACTTCCTTCATTATGCCTGGAAAGCTGTTCTATGAACATGAACAATATCTCACTTAACCCTTTCCTTGAACAATTTCATGCTGTTTTCCTTTCAGGTTGTCAGAGACGGAGCCAAGAACTTTGGCAAAACTCTGTTCTCGGCTGATTAGCAAAAGAGTCTCATGAAGGAGAACCCCAGCCTTACATCAACAACTCTGGTATTTCACACATTGATAGCATGGACCATCTAAAAGTTCCAGATTCATGGAAATAACAGTAAGGTTCATTCATTTCTTACATAAAATATATGTGTGACTTCATAACTAATATGAGTGCATTCTGAACTGTTATGAATTTTCCTAATTTTAAAATTAAAAAACCCCATTAATCCATTAATTAAATGGATTAAAAAAAATTACAACAATTGTAGAGGTAAGTGATCTGGCACCTAAGTTTCATGAAGGGTTTGCCCATTTACAGATGGATCTTCTGCAAAAACATAGCGTCAAGAACAGAAGAATTTTAGCAGGTCATGGGACTTTTACTGTCCTAATCATTAATGCAAACTACTGCATTTTTTAATTGAATATGCTCATGGTATCTTACCTCAGCCTAAATAATGCCTGTGTTTATTGGTTACCTGGAACTTAAACTCTGACTTTAACCTTTTGCTACTGGAGAGACTGCTCGCTCTCTCTTGTACCTCTGGTGTCTGATCCCGTATCTTCCTCTTCACCCAACTAAGACCCAAATTGTCTGTCATATCTATGCTTATCTGCTAGGCTTCTTATCACATGCTCCTCTTATTTTATCAGAGTTATCGTATGTTATTTCCTGTACCATTTAAGTAAGTACTGTACTTAGGCCTATCTACCTTTCAACAGGGATAAAAATATTGGTCCTATCTTCACTCCAGCAATTGCTTCTTTGAACAATTTAGGTATTTAAGACATTTTATACTAGCATCCATTCTACGTGGATTTTAGCTAGCAATTCATTAACTTTGTAGCATAAATATTATAGGAAAGCTATCAGAATTTCTTTAGCTTTTAGCAGTGCTTCAGATGCTACTTTTTGATTTGAGAGGAAGCTCGAAATTCTAGGTACACACAGAGATTAACAGCTACAGCTAACTCAGCTTACGTGAAAGGAACAATTTAGCCTTGTAGCAACCTCAAAGCAGAATAAATAGCTGTACCAGAGTGAAAAACCAAAACCAACTGGTTAAAAACTATTCAGGCCAGACACAAGTATTTTATGTTTTACAAGTCAGAAATGTAAATGTCTAAGATTAAAATGTCACAACTAAAAAGTCCTGAATATTAGAGCGATTCCATTTCCTAAAATCTAAGAAAATTAAGCAGAGATTGTAATCTTGACAGTATCAACTGCAAATCAAGCCACTGCTGTATAATTTCTTAAATAAGCACAGCTAGGTAAACACAAGGCTTTTTCAGAAGCATGTCCCACTTCTCAGAATCCATATCACATAAAGTTATACCGATATTTTTAACATACATATATGCGCACAGATGCACATACAAAATTAATATATACAGGAGAGCTGCTTGAAGAGCAACGCATGGGGTATGCCCCAGAAGTGCAGCCAGGAGGCTCCTGCGCTGAGATTCCCAGAAGAGCTTGCGAAAGTCAGCAAGGAGCTAAAATCGCCTACACAGTTTCATTCTGTTTCACCTATGCACCGAAATTATACGCTGTCATTTTGAAATTTTTGTCCGTGATTCATCATTCATGACAGACAACCCAATGACAGCGTTCTGTGAATAAGTACCATCCATGAAGAAGGTGGCAACAACTGTCTGTGACTGAACTGAACAGAACACCCCTGAAGGATGTCTTATCTTTTGTTTGTAACTTTGCAAGAGAGTTATAAACAGAAAAAACTTTAATGGATGGTGTTTTCCTTAGTTCAAATGGATGGAAGATCAGTACTGTCATTTTCATGATGTAAGGCTGAATTACTGTAGTCCTCATTCAATCTTTATCCAAAGAAAAATTCCTGCTGCTCTGAAGTAAGAATTTCCTGAATAACATCATCTGGAGAAAATGTGGTAAGGATTTAGCCCTCTTCTTTGTTTCAATATCGTTACTGACTAATTAAAGGAAGGAAGACATAATCTCTAATTTTCTTCTATAGAAGGAACAGATTACGAAGGATCATTTTAGCTGTTTCCTGGTTGGCCACCGAAACAAAAGCGCCCCGTTTACCGTTTCCTCAAAATACAGGCTCGTATAATAACAAGGTCAGGGCAATATTAAGCAAAGCCTCGCAAGAGTCTCCACCCCGTCTCCCCCTCACCTTTTCCACTATCTCGTAGTCCATCTTGAAAGCCCAGAGCTGGAGCCTGGCAGAGAGTTCGCTGATGGAGGAGAGGGTGAGAAGGAACTGCTCGGCGCTGCCCAAGGGGACGTCAGGGTTTGCCAGCTGTGCCTCCTGGATCTTTTGCTTCTCCTCCTCGGTCGGGATCATGGTCAGGATTTTCTGGGAAAGGAGACAAAAGGCAGGCGTCAGCGGCGGGGCCGAGAGGCACGTGAGGGCTGGGCGTTGGGAGAAGTCGCAGCGGCAATGGTAGAAGTCTTCAAGTCCCTGGCTGGTACACGAGGAGGGTGCTGTAGTGACCAAGAACTAACCCGCTGCACAAGAAGGCAAAACAAGGACTGCTATCTCAAACAGCTGCAGTTTGTTGAAAAACACATCTGTATTAAAATGTTGGGTTTTTTTGTTTGTTTGTTTTAAATTTGTACTCGGTAGATATGGTTAATCATGGGATGAAATACCGAAGGAGACGCAGGGAGACTGGTTAGGACTGCTCTCCTCAGCTTTCGTATGTTTAAGTCAAAACTGGCCGCCTTTCTGCAAATTACGTACGGAAGTGAAGGTAGAAGGAGTGCAATTCTGTGGCCTGTGATTTATAGCAGGTCAGACTAGATATTAAGGTCCCTTGTAGCCTCAATACCTATGAATCTTCTAGCGCACTTGTAGGTAAACAGAAATAACTTGAGGACTCCTGTCCCTTGCTGTTCTCATCATGTATTACTTTTTCATCAGTCTGTTTTGTTTTTTATGAAACATGACAACCACTGCAGCTTATTAGGTCACTCCCCACAGTTTCACCCGAACTGAGGACAACTTCCCAAGGAACACGCATTGAATTTGACATTGAATCATGCACTGCACAACATATGGCCTTTTTCTCTTTTGATCTGAAAAGTCTAAAATATTGATGAAAAAGGATCTCAGTATTTTCAGTTTCTGCTGTCAGTATGGCTCAAAACATTTAAGTTTTCCCTTTAATTCTTGGATTTTACATCCTTGTTTACATGTGGCAGCTTTCCTTCTCAAAGTATTGCTCTCTAAGGTATTGCTTCTTAATTAGTTTTTAACATAATAAATGCACTTTAAAATAAAAAACAAAAGCAAAACAACACAAAGGCATCAGATAAGTTGAGGTCTTCACCCTGCTGATCAATGCCTCATTAAAACAAAGCAGTAGATTTTCAATACAAGTTATGTTTATCCATCCGAGGAATGACATGTTTTTGCTGTAGCATTCTACAATGATAGAGGCTGTTTTGGAGGGGAGGAGACAATAATAAAAATAAAGCCAAAGAGCTGTCGGACCTGCCAATCCAAACTACAGCCTTGTTCCACTGCTGGACATAGCCAATTCATCAAAGTAGCACAACTGCCCCTTTCCAGTCCCAACAATTCATCCGGCTCCTCGTACAGCGCTGGAGATAAGCCTGGAGAGCAAGGGACTTTTCCTGGGCAATCAGGCGAAGAACAAGAGTTAGGCAAGCAAATAATGTTCAATTTGTTGAACTGGGACTTATTTCATTTCAGCCACAGCATTTGTATTGCTGTCCATCTATTTATGCTGACTTCCAAAAAGAAATAAAGAAGCATTTCTTTCTGTTACTGTTGGCTCTGCCTTTCAGTTAAACAAAAAACAAAACCAAACCTCCTTCCTGGGACACTGCAAGTGTCTACCTTAATAAATTAATATCCTAAGGAAAAAAGAAGAGGAGGGAAATCCCTCAATACACTCTGGTGCTTTTCCTTCCTCTGTCAATGACTGGAAAATATTCTGATGTCCACCTGTTCTGATTGATAGCATTTGTGTATTGATTTTGAGATGTGCTATCCATCCATCCATCCATCCACACATGCTGAAATATGTAACTGAGGTCAGACCTAACATCAAACTAGATTTATAAGTACCTGCTTCAGGGCACTTCTCAGGGCTTAACCAATACTCATCTGAAAAAAAAAATCATAAAAAAAGAGAGACGAGCCTGAAACTCGTAAGAAGAGGTGTTCGCAGAGTTCCTTTGAAGAAGTCAGGTCTCCTAGTGCCTACCCCTCTCTTCAACAGCAACAAGAAGCCAAACACACCCTCAGCTGAGTCAGGGCAGCTTGCAAACAGGATCATATGAACACCCATACGTGGACAGTTTAGCAGTAGCCATCTGACGGATGTAAAAATGCTTCTGATGCATTTTTGCAGGCTAACGCTTCAGCAGCGTTCTCAGTTGCCTCCTACAAATAACTAGGACTTTTGGCAGCTACCCCGGGATCCCACAAGTATTTTGTGGCGGTGCAGGGCTTTCACTCCAGAGATTTTGCACTGCTTTCGGGCATTTTAAAGAGAGCAATGAAACAGTACGCTTTATTTCCAAAGGGACTCTCCTCCTCCTCGAGCTTTATGTAAACACCACGAGCCAGATGGAGCTGACAAAAAGCATTCGAGTCCCAGCACCGCGAGGCTGCTGCGCTGCGTACCGTAGTACGCGGAACGGAGAATGCCAAGCAAAAGAGCCTGGACTCGCGGTGCCAGCTGCCGAGGATCGCCCCCGCTGCCGAAAGCCCTGCCTTGATGGGACCAGAGCGGCTGGCAGGTCTCACACCATCTGAGGTGCAACTGCCCCCATAATCACGACCTGCTCCTTTCTGAACTGCCTGGGCAAATAATTCTGATCCTGCTGGTTGGTCATCATCCTTGGCGTGCCCCTGAGCAAGCGGTAAAAGGCTCCTGTTCTCCATTTCCACCCGATGACTAATTTGAGCCATTTGTTCAGCGCTGGAAACTGATGAGCACACCATCTGCCAGTTTATTATTATTTTTATTTTTATTATTTTTTTAAACATTACTGACGGTAAAAGTAGCATGAAAACACAGCAGGGCAGAAGGTTACTGGCACTTGATGTGACCATTAAATCCCGAATAGCTTTGAATCTAATCATTAGCTCATAATGCTCTCCCCAGTAGGGCGTTCTTCAGGTCAATTGAAGAAGAATTGGTTATCAACAAACCATATGCTCATATCCTCTAATATGCGTGACACACGTATTCCACCTCCATGCATTCTCACAAAACCGTTTGGGCCATTCTGAGGAAAACCAGCGCACAAATCTTTTCACGGAGAAAAAGAAGTGATTTTTGGAGATCCTGTTTGCGTGAGATAATGGATCCCAATTATTCTGCTCCTGGACTGCTGGACCCAGCCCCTTTCTTGAACTTTCAGCAAAGGGATCAAACTGCATATTTCCTGGACTCAGCCATCCTGACCGTATGATCTCCAAAAATTTCTAAGAGGAAAGCCTTACGAGGCTCACAGGGCAAAATTTATAAACCCCATATGCCTGAGGGTTACGGGCCTCAGTGTGGGACGCAAGGAAGCACCTAACCAGAGACTGCAAATAGCTTGGAGCCTCTGCAGAAATTAGGTGCTTCTCAGTGATAATGAGGTTGCAGGGGTGCCTTGGGTTTCGTATTTGGTTTCAGCTGATTTTACCAGGTGAACAGGAGCCTGAAAAAAAAATTAGTAAACTAAATATCTGGTTGTTGTTGGGTCCAAAGCTCTTCTGTGGCTTGAGGCCCACAAATTCGTAAGCTGCATGACCAAATACTCATCAGTAGGTATTTCATCGGATATTTGACAGGCCTCGGCAGGCGTTTCAGCTCCAAAAAGGCTCTCACGCCTCAGCTTTCCAGGCAGCTATTAATAAGACACATCAGTGGTTTGCATTACCTGCAGAAACTCTAACAAAATATAAAAGCATATGAAGGTCAGGACTCCACAGTGAGTGAGGCCGCCTGCACTAATCTTATTTCAACTCTTCCAAAAATGATCCAATTCAGAGAAAGGACTACGTCTAAAATGCCTGATAGCCATCCCTGTAAACTGGGAACTGACAGCCGTTGCCCTGGTCAGACCGCTCACCTTCCTCAGCTCTCTACTGAAATACATGAACGTGCCATTGCTGGTCACAGAAACTGTAGAAGATGTTTTGTCCGCTGCAAGGAGTGAAAGTGTAGCTTTTTTTCTTTAAATAAAGTCTGAAACTCGTTAGGGCAGCGATACGCTGACCGTAGGTATATGGCCAGCAAGGCTCTGTTGCGTCCGTTCTCTCTTCTGTCTAGACTTGTGAAAAGAGGTGTTTCTTTCAGGTCACACGAGCTAGCAAAATTTGAAACATCCCATCACACTTTTACAAAGCATTAGCTAAACAAATTGGAAACTGCCAATGCCAACGTACCGTGGCAATTATCAGAACAAAAACTTAAATACCTTGATCGTTTCCAAAAATCAAATTTTGTTTTTTGTTTACACATGTCGCCATCTGCCTTTTTAACACCAGGCTCTCATTTCTTGCCCCATTTTACATCTCAAGGCTACCTAGCCACTCCAGACACCTGGACTTCAAATTACTTAACAAATGTGGGTATGGAGGGCCTAGCGTACCTGGAGAGTTTTTTCATTTCAAATAGTTTTACTAAAAGCTATACCTACCAATGCAATCAATATGGTGTAGCATCACAAATCTATATTGCAAAAGCACAAAACAACCCACCTTAACTTCCTCACAGCATCACCCCAATTTTACTCTGCTAAATTAATCATGCTGTTTGGTATAATTTGATTTTGACCCATGTTCTGTTATTGAGTAGCACCTTACAGAGGGACCCACTCATCTCCTTTACTAAACACAAGCACCAAGGGCTGGTTTTTGGTGGACTCTATTCTTGCAGTTGCCCGTGATATACCTCGTCAAAATAAGATGCCAGGATTTTAAGCTTGCCTCTCTAGCTTAGCTCACAGAAAGCCCTCATCCATGCTAAGCAGGCAGTTCTTTATCCTGCAGCGAGCTCCAAGTTGTTTGAACACAATGAATGCCAAGCTTTCAAAGAAAGGAAAACACAACCACTTTGGCAAACGTAAGGTGGCAAAAATTTTTTTAGTTGGATTGACGCATGCTTGCAGACACACATTGTGCATTCCTTTGAAAGCACGTTTCTAATAGCGCCTGCTCTGCATACGAAATGGACTACATCTGCCTTGCTAGCACCATGCCCCCATTTTCTGCCCTTTTTCACAACTCAGGGGTACCTGAACACTTCAAACACATGGTCTAAAAATACTCAATATACTCAGGTATAGAGGGCTTTAAAATACTTGGAGAATTCCTTCTCCTATCTTAGTTGCATATTGGAAGTTAAAAAGCAAAGTATGGATTACTAACACGAGTTAAAAGTCACAAGCAAGGCGGCATTCAGCAGAATGTAGGACAGCAGCGGAGGGTTTACTGGAACTTGATGATGAATTGGGCTATCACAAACTTGTAGCCTGCATCCCACTGCACCGCTGCCTTGTTGCTAGCACTACTGTCAGCGCTGGTTTGGTCCACTGTCCTTAAAGGAATCGCTAAGGTCAGTTTTAAGATACCATTTAATCTGAACTTATCCACCAAGGTGCAGAACTAAAGCCACACACACACACTTAACACGATGCTGACGATGCTCCTCAGCAAAGGACACAGCACAGAGCTCACAGCCAAGGCAAAGGACGGCTCAGGTGACTTTTTCCCCTCTTGGTGCTCTTCTCTGTGTTGGATCTGCCAACAGCTGAAGATGATCCTAAATTATAGCTTCTCTGAAATTTTAGCAGTGAATGTTACATCCTCACCACACACAATTACATCTCTTCTGCTCTCCTTACATCTCCCTCTTCTGCTTACTAGCTGTGACATGTCTTCTAGACAACTAACTACGCAGAAGAGGCTTTTAAGTACCCACTGTGATGCAGTTTTTTAATGAGACCAATTGCATAATTTTTTTTTCCATACCAGTCCTGCCTCATTCAACCCACAGATTAGCTAGAAAGTATACTATATTGCAAAAAAATTGCTTTATTCTCTGTGTTTTAAATGAATGAAGCTGATACTGACACTATTACTGATTCATTCATCAGCACTACCAATTATTACCTAATATTTAGGAACCATAGATACGAACCAGAAAACTTTCCAAAAATCTAGACTGAAAAGACAACCCCTCTTCCCTCTAAGCTAACTCTAAGGTTAAAGCCAATGAACAGATGGATACCGAGAAGAGAAATGGGAAACAAAGCTTGTCCACGCTGTAGATCAAAGGGGCAGTCTGGAAAACTGAGGCAGGGCTCTGCTGAAAACCGTGGGACTCACAGTGATGCATTTCTGTATCTCTCTGTGCACCTCTTGGCCAATTCTGCATAGCTTAATCCAGCCCTCTATCTCACTATCAACGCCTGTCTGACTCTATAACAATGTGCTATAAGAAAAATCTCTAACGCGGGATTGGGGAAGGGAATCTGAATTCAGTGCAGGCTATTACCTTATAAGAAGTAAATAAACGTGGAACATTGAGGGAAAAAAAGCTCTTTTCTCCATGAACATCATCCTTTCCGACCAATGAAGGCTTAATCTCTCAAGGTGCAAAGTACCTGGATTCTGCTCCACTTATCCTTTGTCTTGATTTCAAATATCTGAATAATCACATCGGGATTACTCATACCCTTAGCTTCAAGCTGTGGACACGGGACTCAGAAATCCCATTTTCTTTAGCACCGGGCAAGTATATAAACAGCGTATTATTTCCTGGATTCTGAATTCTTCAGTTTGAAAGCTATCTGCATATATATTTTAAATGAAATAAGGGGTTTCTGGCAGCTAATGGAGAGGCCACCCAAAGGAGGGTGTGGTGGTACAAGGCACCCATGCTGGTGGGCACCACAGGTGGTTGGCAGATGGACAGCCCACCTACAAATGTTGGCACTGGAGAGGCTGAGCTGTGCACAGCAGCTGAACTTCTGTTGAGCGTGCCAGAGAAGGACACAAGTCAAAGGAGACGATACACGGAAAATAAGGAAGATGTGTCCTCCTTTATCAGCCATTTCATGTCAGACTTTGTATGGAAACACCGCCTACGGCACTGAGATCGAACTGGTGGTCTGCGAGTTGGGCTTGGCTGGAGGGGTACCTCTCTCCAACACTTCAGAGCTTTGTACTGCAAACTGCAGTGGTGGGTACGTGGGCTGGGTCATGAAAAATTACTTTTTTTAGCGCGATTTGTCACCTTCATCAGTAAGGTATGTATATAGCAAGTAAGTAATAAAGCTTTGGGAAGAAATTATTTTCTAGTAGGGATAAATCAGGCCTTGCCTTCTAGCTAGAACGATCTTTTGCCTCAGGTATTTCTTTTGCATGTAACTGCTGGCAACTCCATTTCCATTCCAGCCAGCTTTTCTCATTTTCTTCTGTAGTCAGCACAGTGAAGGTGGAAAGGGGGAAATCATGAAACACAGCGCCAAACCACTGAAAGGTGACTGTGAGTCAATACACAACCTCTGCAGCTCAGCCACTGCTTGAGATTTGTAGTTGTGCAGATTACTCTTCCCAGATGATATAGGCTTATTAAAAAAAAAAAAAAAAAGAGCTGAAATGAATACAACCACAATGAAAAAAAACAGGGGAGCAGCAGGCTGCTTTTACACTTCATAGAAGAAAAATGTTTTGATAAAAAAAATAATAAACAGAGCTCATCTTGGATCTCAGTAAGAATATCTGCAAAGTCAAACATGTAATGGTAAAAATTACATCATCTGTAATCTTTCTACCAACTGCTTTTCTTCAAACAACAGTAACACAGAAATGCTATTTTGAGCAGAACTAGTCACTGTATTTGTTTTCCATTAGATATACAATGTAGAATGACTCCAACAGCTAGCTGGGCATGAACTTTATTAAACCCTGTACCAGTTGCATCACCCTAGTAACTCACTGCCTATTCTTGCTGCTCGCAATATTTCAGTCAAGCTTCAGAGGAACAGATAATACTCTGGAAATCTTGACAGGAATTAACGCCATTGTTACTCGGAGTTAGACAAAAACAAAGCAGAGAATCCATGTTTACTGAGCATGCCCAACCTCAGGTGAACACTACATGCTTCTGAGCACATTGCGTTGATTTGAGGAGTTTCAGCGCTCAGTCATGATGCAATACATCCCCTTTTCCCTCTTCCATGAAAAGTCTGGCCTGTACCATGTGCAACATCGAAAAAAAAAAAGGAAACATAGAAAATCCAGATTTGAAGACATCGACAATTCTTTCTTACCTCTATTCCTTCCTTGTTTAAGGCATATTCGTCAAAGTTCAAAATAGCAGTCTTGATAGTGCGGGGAGGGGGCAACACAGTCAAGCCAATATTAATAGCGTTGCTTCGTTTTGAGTCCAATACAATGATCTCCTGTCTCTTCCCATCTGCAGCAGTTTTCTTGGTAAAGAAGAGAACAAGAATATTATTCCTCCAGCCTGTTTCATAAAGAAAAAGTCACTCCTTTCACTAATGACTTCCCCTACTCAAGGGTGCTGACACTGAATGTAAATCTAATTAATTTATAGTCATCCAAAGAAGCTGAATTCTTCTACCACATCCTTGCTGGCATCAGCAGGAGCTGCCAGGATTTAACCAGAGACCTGAACGCAGCCTCAGATGCTGTGCAAAGCCGAACTAGCCCGAGACACGGGAGTCCCCGCGAGGGCTGGGAACGCCGCGGTTTGGGGCAGGAGTCGGTCCGAAAAAAGGCGTGAAGCTGTCTCTGCCGGCCGACAGCTCTGCCGTACAGCAGGACCGGCCACCACAGGGCAGCAGCCGGGCGGCTGACGGGCTCCACGGCTCAATTCCCCCTTGGATGCGTCAATCCGGAGCGGCCACCAACCCTCTCTCGCCTATGTGGCTGGCTGGGGAACAGGCAGGGAGGTTCCCACCTGCCTGCCAGCACCCTCCTGTGTTATAAATCCCCCTCAAGCACTGGTGAAGGAGCTGTAGAAGCCTTTCTGGAGACACTGGCATGGTTTTCTGACCTCTGGCTGCCAGAGGAAGGGTATTCTACCTTGCTGCTCATGATATGTCCATCAAGCCGTTCACAGGTACAGAACAATTTCAACCTTCCTGCTTTTTTTCAAAGTTTTATTTGAAACTAGACATAATCTTCACATCTTACCTCCAGTATAAGCTACAGCATAAATAACAATGAAAGCACAAAGAACTAACAACGTACGCTTTAAATTCTATTCTAGAGAAGACCCAAGAAATTTCTTCCTCTGTCTCCCCATCCTCATACTGGCAAAATGCAAACCAACCAGGCAATGAGTCACAAATCACATATATGGCATAATGCAGTGCTGAACGTGTGGTCTTTGCACACCCCAGCATGCCTCTTTCTCTCTCATTATCCCCTGCTAGAAGGTGTCTCTTTGGCAACTACATATATCATATACCAGGCAGCTGCAAGAGGAGAGGACTCTGCTCCTCATACCCAGGGTTTTTTCCTCCCTCTCCATCCACAGGAACGCTGGAAACATGTTTTCTCTGTTCCCCCTTCCTTTGCCCTATCAGAGATGGGCTGAGGGATGCTGTCAAGCACAGGGATTTAGGGAGAAGACCAGCACACTGATGCAAGCAAGAGCAGAGATGCTTCGTTACATATATATATATGTATGTATGTATAAACCTGCGTTTCAATGCAGCGCAAGCTGCAGAGACGGGACCGTGATCTCCCTGTAGAGCCCGTTAGCTGCACCGTGGTTAGTGGCTCTGGCAGCAGCAGCCTTAGTGCAAATGCACCTCAAAGGGACAAAAAGAGCGACTAAGCAATCCCTCTTTCCAGGCTGCAACGCGGCAGCCCATACAGCTGTTCAGAACCAGGAATCATCTGTGTTGCCTACAGCAGTGGTGTCTTTTGCATCTCTTGTGGATTTGAGGGAAGCCCAGGAGAAGACTCTTACTGCTCGAGTCTCAGCCTGTGCTCAGGATTGCTTTTTAGACCACGAAGCTTTCTTCTCCACCTCCTTTGGGTCTGCACCACAGCCACCGTGCCGGAAAACACCCCACTGCCAGGTCTACATGCTGTTTCTGCATTGGAAGAACTGTCTAAGTTAGTCGATTTTATCAAAGCACCTCCAGCTGTGGGTCAGCCTGTAACGGGAATGCAGTTGTGTCATGACCCAGATGCCTTTTTCTGGCACAGCTCGGTTCCTTGCCTGCACAGCAAGAGGTATGCCCACCGGTCCCAGCAGCCTGCCCAGCGCGTGTGCGGCACCGCAGCCCTTTCATCGTACCCACGCGATTAACGCGGCACGATGCAACTTCTGCGGGCGCATCATGCCGAAGGCAAGTGCGCTTCACAGGACCTGGGGACTACCACACGGGTATGATCTCTGAAAGTAATGAGAGGGTTGGGTTTTTGAAACTTAAAAAGAAAAAAAAAAACACTTTTGCAGTAAACGGGATAAATTTTAGGAGAGCAAAGATAACATTTGTTTTCGATTTTTGTATGTCTGTTCTGTCAGAACTGCTCTCTTCTTAACCTCTTAAAAGCATCCCTGAAGCCTTCTCGAACTTTCCCTTCTTTGACTAAGAGAGTCCTCTTTTTCTTGGGGAGCGACCTGAAGGATCGGAGATGCAGCTTCTCCTTTAAAGCAGTCATTTTTATTTCCAGGGCCATTAATCACATTTTCAGGACCACAGTTAGTGGCCGAGACCACATAAAAACAAGTGGGGTTCACCAGAGACTGCTTCCTCTTGAGGCTGTATCGCACTGAGCCTTTTTTAAACCACCACTTTTTACCTTGTCCTTCGCCGCACAGAATGACACAGCTCCAAAGAATTTATGCAGAAGGGAAAAGGCTGGGGGAAAGGAGTTAAATTTAGGCTTCCCACATGCGGTATGGGTAAGCAAGCCTCAGATCTGCAGCTCTGTTTTTAAGCTCCTAAGTTTGACAAGAGAGACGTATTCATTTGAGGGACATACGATGCTAACCGCCGGGATGATTGAGACTGCAACAGTGCGCTCGCTCCTTCGCAGTGACTTATGGAAGACAGATGAGCTGTATAGGGGACGTATGCACGTAGGTATTTTCCAGAGCTATAACTGCATCTGGGGTATAAAATTGGGGGGTAAGTCAGTCTTTTCGAGAACAGGGACAGAAGAGATTTTAAATCCATTCTGGGGACGATGGCTGAGTTACAAAGAAATCCTTTCCAAATAAATAAAAGGATGAAAAAAAGAGAAAGATTTTACTACTGTGAACTTTATTACCTCACCGCTAGGAAAAGAATTGCTTTTTGTCTGCAATGAAACTGCACATGTCTAAGTGTCTGACTGTTAAAATAAGCTACCACTATTAATTTCTATTACAATATTAGGTGACTTCAGACCATGCTTTATAAGTTCATTAACAGAGAATTACTTCAAATGCTTGAGGGAACAGTGCACTAGTGCACTTGATTTTATATTTTAATGTGTCAGTGTGTAAAGTAATTCTTGGACTGCTGAATATTATATTATTAAATGCAAATACAAAATTAATTATAAAATAAAAATATATCAGGTGGTATAATTTGTGGGAAACAAATGCTCCTGCAATGTATTAACAATTACAGTGAATGTAGATCTTTACAAGACCTAACTGGCCAGATTCTGTTACCTCTATTGAAGGGTGGGTAGTCCAGATAAGTTACTTAAAAACTGTTACCATCCCACAGAAGGTGATTTGTGGTCTGATGAGCACATAGTCTAAAACACGCTTCTTTGCTTTAATTAATACGGGAAACAAATATTTAAATCACTTTTCCAGTGGTCATATAAATAAGTAATGATATATGAGCATCAAGCCAGAAATATCTCCTGCATTTAAACTTGCAGAACAATCTGCATCAGTAGTATAGAAAAAAATGGGCAATCCCTTAATAGCGTGATGGCAATTTCTATCTCAATTAGCAAGGATTTAGCACTGGGGATTTAAAATGGAATCATTCAGCTGCCACTGACTTTGTCCAGGATACATATATATAATCCTTTTCAGAAATTCTGGTCCACATTTATGACTTGCCTTGGCATTTATTCAAATTGCAACGAACATTTTCAGAAAGAATAGGTGTCTAGGCATGTATATACACGTACATGAAAACACATTCCTTAATTTTTCCCTCCTAATTAGTTCTTATGTCTGTGGGCACATGATGGATCACTATATTCCAGAGGGTACAGATGAATCAGCAAAACAGTACTTTCAAATGATATGCAGATCCAAGCAGATGGCAGAAGGGCTGAATGACAACGTTTGATTCAGTGGTGTCTGCGTGTTTTCGTTTCTCTTCACAGAAAAATAAACACTTTGAAGTACTTTGCCAAAATACCTGCTTGCTTTGGCGGCGTGAGAAGGAAAGAAATTCTAGACTGGCTGGGAGTGGATACCTGATCGCTCTCTTTCTATTCGCAAACATAATGTCACGGTCCTCTGTTGTAGAAAATAAACATTCTGTAACGAAAGGTGCTCCACTAACTATAATCAATGTGCAAGTTGTCCAGTGTGGCGTAAGTTTTCCTAAAATCAAGAATCTCCCCTCCCAGTGCCCCCTCCTCCCCCCCCCGCCAACTCCCGTATTATATCCTACAATTTAAAATCCACTTTATTTTATTGCAGTCTATTGTGTTTAATGAAAAACTTCTCATGAGCCAGGAAGTAGCTGTTTATAGCTGTGTGTTGTGGAAATCACAGTGAAGGATTAGAAACTGGAGTAAAATTGGTTACAGCTGTACGAAAGAGCATACGCGCAAGATAGAGCCAAGCCCCCCCTACGCACCCTGACTTCGCTTTTCTTCTCATCCTTCTGGACTGTTCCTTTTCCATGCACCTGCTTCCATCTATAGCTATGAAATCTAGAGGTCTGACTTTTGATTTGTTGCTCTGCGCTCTTTTTTTCAGCTGAACCAACTGAGCTGTGAGTCAGACTTTACAATATTATAGAATAAACCTGTTTTGGATTGCAGCCATTGGACAGGAGAAACTAGACACAACGGGGAATGTACTCCCTGGAAATAAACCAAGCAGTCTGGAAAAAGCGAGATCTATTCTAATTTGAGTGCAATCTTCGTATCAAACCTCAAGTCTTTTATGGATTCAGCAGTCTGCTTAATTATTCCCGCTCTCACTCGATCTAAGGAGCGTCTCCTACCCTGGAAGGTTTGCTGGTATTCACGTCTCAGAAGTCTGGGTAGACTTCCACTACCAAACTCCTCCGTCACCATTGTCTTCTCTACAGAGACAATGAGACTTCTATGTCTGTGTTATGGGACGGGGTGGAAAGAGAGCCAAAAGTATAACGTCTCATGCAGAGAGCAGTTATTAGTCTCCAAGAGGAAAGCAGTCACCTAAATCATTCCTCAGACTTGCACTAATTTCAAAGAAACCTGCTCACTCATCTTCCAGCCAGAAGCCAAAAGCTGTGCCAAAGTATCAGGCAGGTTTGGGAAGCAAGTGTGAGGGAAGGAAAATGGCCAAAGGTAGCTTGGGAACATGGACGGTGAATGACTGGAAAAGTAAACAAGTCAAAATTCCAACAATTTAACATTTTATCAAAATTTCGGGTGAGAATAAAAGATTAAGAATCAGCCAGAGTGATCCATTACAATACTGGCACTTAGCACAAAGCTAAAGTTTGGAAATGGCAAATATGTCATCATTCCACATTCAATTCGAGGAATTAAATGTTTTATGGATCTAAGAAAATGCTCTCATTCCTTCCATCTATGAACCATCTGTGGCAGATTTGTATTTACAGGGAGAGAGATGAGGAGTAACATGCCACGACGTCACCAGCATTCCTTCCTCAGCAGAAAAGGAATTAGAGAGAGAAATTAATCTCAGCATTGGCCAAATGAATGATCAGCTGAACGTGGGTTTAGAGCTAATACGCCATACGTTTCAGATCCACATGCATCTGCGTCACAAAAAATTCAGCTAAGAACAGTGATGGCAGGATCTACGCGAGCCATCTAGTTACGTACCTGTTGTTTGCTAGGTACTCGGTGAGGGGTTTGACTGTTCAAATTGCAATGTTTTCACTTGGCCAAGAAGATCAAGAATGACTATTAGAAAATTTTGAGTTAATAACCCAGACAAGTGACATGGAGAACTTTTACCATGAGACATCCAGTCTCCCCAGGTTAAGAGCAAACGATAATATATGATAAGTAATATATATAACAACTTTTGCCAGCCAAAGAGAAGTAAAATATCCAAGGTGCTGACTGGTTTTTATGTCACTACAAAACATATAGGTATACAGAGAAAACATACAAGTGATTCATTTATTTTAAGTAAGAGAGATGGACATCTTTTACTAGCATTTTAACTGGAAAAACCCATTGTTTCCCTGATACCGACTATTCTGCTTAGAACAAAAAGAGTTTATGTAGCCATGAAAAACAAATGTTCAAGCTAATAACTTTTTCAATGCTACTTCAAATTCCTACTAAATGTAACTATAAAAGACTTCTTTTGTTGCTGAGTCTAATGTTAAACAGCCATGTCACCAGCCTTTGTGAATTTATTTTATAACAATACTAAGGAAGAGGGAATCCTAGCTACAGAGGTTATTTCCTGTGCCAGCTTCTATCCTAAAATTTGGATGGCCACATTGTACAAGTTAAGGATTTAAAATAGGCCTGTTCGCCAGTATAAAACAAACCCCCAACACCCCTGCAGAGTTTAGCTGTAAACTTGGTCCAGCTGATAAATCGATCCTTCAGAGCAAAGCACACGTGTAGGCTCTCTGCAGCAGATCCAGTCTGACATTCTAACCTTTCCACACAATGACCAGGAAAATATTACCAAGTGAAGAACCGTCAAATACACAGATATGAATCATCACACCGTGACCTTTATACGAATGTAACAGAAAATATTTCAGATTTCAGTACCTAGTTTGGCACTCAGCTATGAGCAAGCTAGCGTGAAATTTGCTGGTATTCCCCACCTGAAGGGATACCCCAAAAGCGGCAGACCTGAGACAGGAGCACAGCTTGGCAGGTACACCACCCTAGGCTCATCTCCTACCTTCAGGCCATGGAATATCTTCCGTCATAGGGCAAGCTAGGAACACATCCCGTAATTTCCACTGTTTTCATATAAACAACATAAATCACCTAGATTAAGTCAGAATGAATACCAATACAATCGCAAAATAATAGCAAGCTGAATACAAGCTGTACCTTTGTGACAGGCAGTTCCTTGGATTTAGACTCAAAGAGATGCTCCAGTTTGGAAGTGTCCACCTTAATGGGTTCCAGTTTCGACCACAGGAATTCTCTGCAGCGTTTGTTGTTTTTACACTGCCACTCAAATGGCCGTACCTCGTTCCAAAACAGACGGATGGTTTTCTTCTTCTTTATAAATGCTGGCTGACCCCTGGAAACCTGGGGCGACCCTAAACCCTGAGGAGTGCTGAAGAGTGGAGGAGGAGCCAATAAATTAGCAGAGGGCGGAGGTGGAGGTGGACATCCGAACAGCGGGGGAGGCGGTGGAGGAGGCAAACCCAGAAAAGAAGGTGGAGGTGGAGGAGGGGGAACAAGGGAGTCCCCAGGACCCATATCCATGTCCAACACATCTACATCATCCTCCTCCCCCAGGTCTGTAAAATCCATGTCTTTGATTTTAAGTTCTCTAGGATTAGCCATGAGCTGATCCCAGATGTAGTCAGATTCCTTCTTTGGCTGTGCTGGTGTTTTCTCAGGGACCTGTTCACTGATTTCATCTTCAGGCACGGCTGTCCCCTTGGCCAGCTCACCGCTGTTGAATTTTTCCGCAAAGGCTTTCACGCTGCCTTGGTTGTCCAGATTTCCAATCTCCATCTTTTTGACGCTTTCATCTTTGGCCTGCTTCGTGGCCTGAAGGATAGAGATCCTACTGGCTAGGCTAGTGAGCAACTCCTCGCTTTCCTCCGTCTCCTTCTTTTCCTCCTTCGCCTCCAGCTCCTTCTCCTCTTCATCCTTGGGCTTTTTGTTATGCGCATACAACATGTCCAGCATAAACCGCTTGTTGTTGAGGATGTTGCTGCACTGCTCATTCACACCAGCATCCTGAATGGTCTGCGACCATGGACCTGCAATCACACACACACAGATGGGAAGAGTCAAGGGAAGGGAGCCAGAGCACCGAGAACACTCTTCAACCCACCGGAAAAAAATTTGGGGGACACATGCACAATTACTCTGAAACTGAGCCAACAGCAGCTTTGAAAATTTTGAAGTGAGTGACAGTGCTGATATATGGCCCAACCTTGATGGGCTGGGAGTAATTCTCAAAAAAGGAATGGGAGCAGAAAATAATCAGTGTAGCTCGGGAGGGACTAGATAACTGTCAGTATTTCAAGGTTCAGGTTTCTCCTGAAATCTGTCAGGTTTCACTTTGTACTTACTAGCCCAGCTCATTTTATACAGCGCATAAATGCTCAGAACTTTAGTGACTTGGAATGGGGCTTCACTGTCACGACAACGGCACAAAATAGGTTATTGTCGTACTTTTCACCTGGCCATAAACTGGAACCACCCCAGGAAAACTTCCTTATAAAAGAGATCTTCCCTGCCTGATGTCAAGGTCAACATGTAACTGCTTCCTCCTCCTCCTCCTCCTCCCTCCCCGCCGGCTAGAGGAGGACACCTTCCACATCTGGCTGTTCCTCACACCTCCTGGCTGGGTACCCGGCCATCTTCACAACACGGACTGTCTGAACCCCAGAGCAGGCTGCATACCCCGGGTACAGCTCTCAGGGCAACTCAGTGAGTGTAAGCATAAGCAAGATTTTTAAAGTTGTTTCTAGGAGTATGAGTACCTTTATAAAAGATTTTTGAAACTGCTGCTCATCAACCACTGTTAACCTCCCTGTAATATATGACGGCACTGAAAGCCTGATGGCCACCTTCCCACATCACGATCATTTAACATGTCACTGTAATGAAGCTTCATCTTTCTGACGACTGCTTGTCTCAACAATCATCTGCAAAATACTATGCTTGAGACAGCACCGTAAATAACAAACTATAGCAGTCAAACTGTAAAAATAAATGATGTAAGCATCTCTGACTACATTTCCCTGAATGTAATACTGCTAACCAATGTGGATAATGTGTCTAAAAATTATGGTGCTTCTTTTTCCAGTGGGCATCAGATGAAGTGATTAAACATGGACAAAGATAATTCTTCACACTTACTGTATTTCCTGTACGGGATTCCTTCTGTTCCCCATAGTCTTTACACATTTTATTAATATATTATTTATAACTCTATTTCTTAAACACATTTTATTTGGATTGCTAGCCTGCCTTCCTTTTGGCCCCTTGTGGTTAAAGTTTTTCTTTTATACCTGTCAGTTGCCCTTTCTCTTTAACTTCCCATTTTACCTTTCTTTCTCCCCTTGCGCTCCCACCTTTTTCAATACTTCAGAGTTTTAAACATCTTTTACAGCTTCCTTCTTCAGCTGACTTGCTTTCCTACCACGACACCTAGCTCTGCGCTCTGAGAAGATGTCCCCTCGGCAAGATCCACATCCAGGCCCCCACAACAACCCCCTGCCGCTTCAAAATAACACCGTGTTAAAACGTAGGACGGGTCTCACAGGACAAAGCATATGGACAGCAATGACTCTCACCTCTATTCCGATCAACCTCTAAACCACATTTTAAAATTAGTCCAGAGGTTTAACCCCAGACAAAAGAAAGACTTTTTTTCAGCAATGGATACAACCTCCAAAAGTGTCTCCTCCTACTTTCCTGCAGGAGGCTTGACTGCTTCCATTACCTGTTTCCTCAGACTTTATCCATGGGATTGCTTTCTCACCAAAATTTGTCTCTGAGGTAGTTTCACTAGACAACACCTTCCCCACACCATAGATTTTACCCAGCTGAACTCCTCCCAGAGGATTTCCCCCTACTCCCAAGCCTTTCCTTCAAAGATGTTCAAGATTGCTCCCAGGATCCCTCCTACAAATCCCACATGACCTACCCGCTCTCAGTTTCACCAGCTGGGATCCTCCAGGATTTAATCCCTTTGCAAAACTGCTCATCAAAATTCCCCCCGAGACAATCTCTGATTTGGGCTCCCCGAGTCCGCCTCCACCTGCCCTAGCTGATCCAAGGTTATTGCTGTGAAGACTCTTGCTACCTTGGTGGTCTCTTCTGCCGAAACCAGGACATCGCCTCTCCACAGGTGAAGCTTTGAAATACCATCAGGGAAACAACACTTGTGGGAAGCCAAATTCAGCAGGATGGCTAATGAAAGAGGAGCCAGGACCAATGGCTTTATTCTTTTGTCCTTAATGCATCTGGGCAGAACCAATGGGCCACCTTGTAAATGGCAAACTGCTTGTTGGGAATGTGAGAACTGCTGGAGAAAGCACTCTTGTTTTCTTTCTGAATCTCCTCACCTATTAGAGAGCAAACAACTCACTACATGAGACCTCCTACATAGCACAACCTAATAAATCTTTGGTCTACTGGTAACGTAGGTCAATTTTAAGATGTCAATTTTTTGCTAACAGGGTACATTTCTTACCTTTTAACAAAAAGTACATAAACACTTAATTAGAATGATAACAGGTTGGTAACAGACAAGATGAGGGGAAAAAACCCTGTAACCTGTTCTCCCTTACTTGCATTTGGACTATCTTGGACTATGCCACAGTGTAATGACATCCCTCATCTGTCATACCTCCTCTCCCTTTCCTACATATATATCCATCTATGTTCTTTAAGAGTACAATAGCATTCTAAGTAATTCAGTTTTGGTGCTGGTTGAAAAGAAGATAGCTCTTAAATTTAGAATCAAATTAACTTCTGCTTCCCAGAAAAAAAAAGTGATAGCGTTTAAACACGAACAGTACGTTCTGACAGTTTATCTCTGCGAGGTAATCCTTGTGATTCAGAGTTATCCCTCTTCTTTCAGGAAAGAGCAAAACTATTTCACGCTGTTAAACAATTCTTGTTTTCTTATCTAGAACTTAGAAAACTTAGGACAACACACTCCACTGTTCAGCCCTAAGAAAACTTGGGAACCAAATGCCCTAATCACATTACATTCCTTTACCTCCCTATAAAAAGGGGAAAAGAGAATCAACAGAAGTCAAAATCTGCCTTTTACTCCCTCCCTGCCTGGGCTGCATGACAAGCTCTGGTTGTCCTTATCTCTCCAGGCAGAAAACTGGTTCTTCAGGTGTTTTCCAAGCTGGGCCTTCGCAGGTGCCTGGTGGCATATCTGACCAGAACCACTGGTCACTACGGAACTGGTCTTTTCCAGACAAGGCCTATTTCATGTGCTCCTCCACACGAGCTGAAGATGGCCACAGCCCAGACCTATCTCCAGCAGCTCCTATGTATCTCTCTCTGCTTTCTGAAGCCTAACCAAGACAGGAGAACTGGAGGGAAGGGGCAAACATCCCAGCCCTCATTGCTCTTCCTCTAAAAGGATCAGAAAAGGCATCTGGAATCTCATGAGAAATCATGTCAGCACAGCCCCTCGTCTCATTGTTTTACGGGTAGAAAACCTCCCCAAAATCTCTGGGAGCTAGAGATGTAAGTCGCTGCAACACAACGATTCAGTAGTTAATATATTAATCCTAGGGGAAGCAAATGGTCTCGAATCAAAGGAATCCTCATTTCATCAAGGCCTTACTGCCCCTCAAACACAGAAACCCCATCAAAGTCTGTGGATTTCCAAGCAGAGAGTAGTCCAGAATTGGCCATGGTGAAGAAAGTCTTAGACAGGCACAGAGGGTTTGTTAGCTAATTAACATAACAACAGAGCTGCTAATTTAACATTTTTTTTTTCCACCAGAAACCCTCCATTATTGAAAAAGCTTCACTTTACCAGTTTCATTGTCACTGGTTAACTTGTCCTCTCTCTCTTCCCTCTCTAAAGTGCTGCTTGCTGAGGATATGCTGGATGCAGAGCAGTTGTCTTTTTCATTCACTTCCTCATTCTGCCTCTCTTTTTCACTGAGTATCGCACTTTCTTCTGGCTCTCTCTCTGGTCCTTGCTCCACCTCACCCTCTGGTCCCACCTCTGTAGCCTCTATTTCCTTGGGTGTCTCCGTTCCCTGCTCGGCCTCAGCCTCCTGCTCTGGTTCTGGTTCTGTCTCTGTCTCTGGTTCGGGTTCACTGGCACTCACTGGTGGAGAGAACAACGGGAGAAAGAGATTCACTTAACAATGGAGTCGTCTCAGGCTCACCCCTCTAAACGAGAGCAACGTGGAAGCTGTACAAGTGCCTTATGGAAAGAAAATAAACGGCAAAGTCCACGGCACGCTGAGCGTTGGGAGCAACGGACTGATGGATGTTGTGCGACAACAGCATTGCACGTGAGAGTGGGCTGGCAAACCCCCTCGCTTGCTGTCTGGAGCCAGCCCGCTGTTTTTATACATACTTCCACAGCTGGAGTGTTGGACTTGCATAAGGATTGGAACGAACCAGCAGAAAATGGGCATCCCACTTGAGCGTGACATGGACAACTCAGTGCCTAGACAGAGCCAGGAAGGAAGAGATCTTTTAAAAAGCAAAAAGGAGGGAGATTGTGGCTTTTGGCTGAATTTTCTTTGGGTTCTGGAAGAATTCTTTTTTCACCTGATGAGGAACACTTCAACGAAAAAATACAAATATTAGTTTTATTAACACAGTTGAATGGCACAGTCTGGAAATGGCACTGTCACACATTTGGCTGACAAAAACCATATGTTCTTTCATGCATATTTACTCCAGAATAGCCACATTAAAACTGAACAAAGTTTCCAACTGCTTGGCATATGGCACAAATTTAGTTTCCAATTGGTTGGCATATGGCATACGATGAGCTTTTTTATCGGCTGGCACACAGCAAACACTGTTGATAGTACACTCGGTTTCTTCTTCCCTGCTTTATCACTGACAGTGAAATTAATTCATTCACCTTTAGGGTTTTTAGCTATAACAGCAGATTTTCACATGCAAATATTTTCTGCGTGCTGCAAAGAAACTGAAGAGCATCCACACATATTCACATCAAGCAGCTCACAGTTTTCTGAAAACTGAAATGGCCATGCAAGAGTGATGAAAATGGGCATGCATGTTAGTTCTGCATACTTCCCAAATTCCCTCTTTACTAAATCTTGTGTTGGGTGGGCTGAACTACAATGACCAAGTCATACTCTTGTTTTTTCCCCTCTGTTAACTATTTTTCATCACAATATTGCAAAAGAGCCCTCCGGACTTGTCATGGTCTTTGGAGCACATGATATACAATGAGATTTTCTTCAAGAACTACATGAACCTTTGAAGGAAGAAAAAAGTATCACACCAGAATGCAAACCAAACATTTCAGTCCTCTAGCTAGCAAGTAAATAGATTTATCCTGAGAAAGTGTGTAAGCCAAAATAATGAAGGTCACAATGTTTTCCTAAGACTGTTTCACGTTATGTGCCTATCCTATTTTCTGAGACATCCACAACAAAGAACAATGATTTCTAATAATGCCTGTGCCTATCTTTACAATAACACATACAATTTTAAACTAGCTTTCGGTAATGCATCTTCAGTACCACACTATTCCACTTCATTTCATATAATTTACGTGTACAAAACCGCAAATGATTTTTTTGCCGCTGACCTCACTGGAGCTAAGCTTCTACAGTTTCACAATTGATTTTAAATGTGTAGTTAGTTAAATAACCAGACGTGCATATATAATACATTTATATAAAAGAAATGTATACATAATATGTTTAATATATACTCCACGCTCACTCAAACCCCTTTGTTTTAAAACACTCCCAATTAGAAGCTTACTTTTCTCCCTCTTCTACATGGACAGCATCTAAAAGTCTAATATTAGATATGTGAGCAGCTCTGCACACGCCTTGTCTCTCTAAACGTGCCTTACCTAGGACTGTACCCTGGACACTGCCTATCAGAGAATCAAAACTATGCAGAGCTGGCAAGAAGCTGGCAGACACTCTGAATCCCAGTGGTGTGTTTCTGACCACAGCTGTCAGCGTGTAGGTATAGCACAAGAACATTTTAAAGTCAAGCCAAGATTTGAATATAACCGAGATGGAAGCTTAGGAATCCTTCAGGAGTTCCTGGAACTAACATGCTACTGTAGCATGAAAGACTCTGAGCTTGCCATGCTGCAATGGTTCGTACATACAGATGTCATCAATTCATCCTTGAATAATCATAGTTTCGTATGAATTTTAGATGTTTCTTTCTAAAAACAAAAGCTGTCATGCAATAACCAAAAAGGACAACTCTAGCAGCTCAGGTGGAGGAAAAAGCTGACTAGAACATGGCCAGGACTGCTAATGCTTATGGCACTTTTGTCATCGTGAAGCTACACTGAAGATCCAACAAGATGAAGTCAGGAGAGACATAAGAAATGCTTGAGAAAATGAGAATGTTCAAAAGAATTCTGGATAATCTTCCAACAAGGAATATTCCACACATACTGGAAAGATGCAGTATCTTAGCAGAATCTAATAGATAACAAAGAGTAAAGAGCAATATACTGACACAGGCTGCTCTTTTGAGTTCAAGGAGTATCAAACCCTAAGCACTTCTAGAACAAAAGAAGGGTATGTTGACACTCATTTTGACGGTCTCTCTCTCTCTCTTTAGGGATAATCTCAAACAAGCCACCTATAACCCAAATAACTTATAAATAGTGAGCTAAGGCCATCAGCGCTTCCCTTAAAAAGCAGTTCATAAATCAAATCTGTCAGCCAACACTAGCAGGAGAACAAAGCCAGCAAGCTAGACGTGTGCCCACCGCTTTCAGTTCCATCGTATGATCTATTGTGCTGATATTGGTGAGAACTTAAGATGTTAAAAAATACAATTCTCTGTGAATGCTTGGTGGTGGCCTATTTGAAACGAGCTGGAACTTTCAGTCCCATATCTACTGGACCCATTTTCACACCAGACAAAACACTACTCTAAGCGGCAACCTTGCAGGTGGCAACGGAGTTAAATAACAGACCAGGCTCTGTCCCTTGTCTTCAGACTTCTGCTGGTGGAAAGCGCAAAGACTCAGGGAAGCAAGCATGGTCATATCAAAAAGCATCAACAGCAAAGGCGGCGTTCTTGAGACATTAAGAAGTGTGATGCCATTATAAGCAACAGATTTATATTTTTTTTTAAAAACCCAATTCTTACGCATACACAGTTCTTAAAACCTAAACTGGGATTGCCAGATTCAGTAGTAGAGGTAATCTCTTTTCCCCTGAATATGCGATTTTTCACACTTCTCTCAAGGCTTAGGTTTGTTTTTTTTCTGCCCCCTATTAAAACAAATGAGCGAGTTGAAGTCTTTAAATGAGCAGAACTTTTACTTGCAATTGGATTAATCAGGAAGACGAAAACTGAATGTGGCTTTAAGGACTAATTTTTGAGTCACATGCCCACTTCTTTTTCTGCCAGAACTTAATCTCTAAAAATGTATTATTGGAAAAAATGTGAAGACTTCTTGGAAGAATGAAATCTCCCAAAGAAGCTGTGTAACCTCATCACTAAAAGAGACGGTAGCACGGTCCCTCAATGAATGTGTAAACATTTTGTCATTTGGAGAGATGGTGTAATCTGCATCTTCTGACATTTTCAAGACTTGGTCACGTAAAGCCCTAGCAACCTGACCTGCTATGATCTGACCAGATGTTGGTGCCAGCCCTCTTTTGAGTGAGAGGGTAGAGAGGACAGCAAGATGCTCCCTTCTGAAAAACATGGCTACGAACTTATAATGCTCTACAGGGACGTGGAGGGAAACGACTTTTCTTTCAATACTCAACTCTGAATGAACTCTGAGGCGGACACAAGATGTTGTATCCTTAGTACCTGCTGATGAGACCTCAACCCTCCAGTCCTATAAGCCCTCAGAGAGAACAAACATCCCTCCAGGCCCACATCTAATCCCCTACCAGGGGAACAGATTAGGCAACTGCATTTTCACCTATTTTCTCTGCTTGGAGCTGGGAGATACATATGCTGAGTGTCTCTTGAGGATGCATACAGTAAGTCTGAAGATGGCTATATCTACCCAATCCCTCTTGCTTCAACTGTTTGGGCATCGCTTAAAGTCTTGGTGGTTATCTCCCCTCAGTTCCTCCAGCGCGGAATTCCTCTTGCTGTGAATTCAGCAGGGACTCTCTCTCTTTCTCCACTCCCACCCCACTCCTTTCTTCCCAGTCCTTGTGATGGAAAGATCACCAGTAGGGAACTGGCTCTTTCTTCATCAAGTCAGAACTAACTCTTGGGTTGGCCTCCTTTAGCACTCTCCTCAAGTGCTAAAACAGCTGCTCCTCTCAGAGAAGGGTTCATCTCCAATTCCTTTGTGGATTGACTTCAGAGATGTCTTGGTTATTGTTGCTTCTCCTTTACTGCACATGTGCACTTCATAAAATATTATCCAATGAAATTACAAAAGAGGAAGTAGCTGCTCTGAAAAAAAATATTAAGTTCCATTTCGCAGTTATGGGACTGCCTTCATTTCCTCTGAAAGCCATAGCCCAAGTTTTACAAGAGTAAGTCTTACAAGACTTGATTATTTTAGTGGAACCAATTGTTTTATATGAGAAAACACTTCAGCTCAATAAGTCCAGATTTTTATACTGGGTAACGATACTGAGACATTTCACAGCGTGGGACAAAGTTCCACAGACAAAACCCATTTCCTTCTTAAGCCCAGTAGATACTGGATGGCCAAGGGATACTTCAGCACAAACGGCATAAAATAAATCTGACTCCGAAAATCACATTGTTTTGCTAGCAGAGGAACACACTTCCCGTTTGACTTCAGGTTTTGAATTCTGCAGGTGAATATCACGCATCCGCTAACATCATACTTGTAGAGTCTTTGGAGGGTCCCGTGCACAGACCCGAGGAATTGTTTTTCTTCTGCAGTTTCATCCTTGCTTGGGAAGACGGTGACCTCCATGCTCAAAGCAACTGCTTGGGGTGCAAGTAATCTGGGTTCTGTCCACGGCTCTATTTCAGCTTTCCTACAACCGGCTTAAGCAAGTTAATGCCTCAGCTTCCCTGTCTCTTAAGTGGGATTCATACCATTTCCTAAGGGCAGTAAAAGCTGAGATTTTAATTCATTATGGAGCATAAGGAACTCAGGTAATAGTCTAGAGACCACGGCACAGGATCTGTAAATAAGCCCTGCCAGCTGCTGGCTGATGTCCAACAATCTGGCCACCTCCAGGCAAGAGAGCCTGCCCTGCCCACACGCTCATTACTTCGAACGACCTTCCCAATGTTTTTGGTAGGCCTGGAACAGCAGTCCTTCCTCATGCACAGCTCCCGCTGAAGGACGCAGATTTCAGGCCCCTGTTCTGGTGCTGTCCTGGCCATCTACCTGCAGCTGCCCTTGGCCGGGGGCTTATCCTGCCCCGTCCATACGTTCTCTCCTTGCGGTCCATTTGCCAGGCTTCCAGGTGCTGCCCTCTGATGCCTACTGATGCTGCCAGGAGTTTTAGTAGAGATGTCCTGCCTACCCACGTGTTGATAGCTTTGCCATATTCTGGCTGCCTGAAGTTGCCCTGTACACCTGCTCTAAATGTATTCTCCAAATGGATTGCGCTGCTGCATTTCATGCCGCAATTTTTTTTGAATGCTTCCAGGAGAAGTATGTTAAAATAATCACCATAAAAGAGATACTTGCTCCCTACCCAGCTCTGAAATCCTAATGGTGGAAAAATCCAGCTTATGTGCTCTAAAAGCAATATTGCACTCAAAAAAAAAAAAGGGGCATCTGGATGTTTCTGAATATCAGTGTTACAGGAAAATACCCATGTTTTTTAAGTTCAAATGATTCCACTGAGACTTTTAAGGTGCCAGACAAGAAAACTGGGAATATAATTGGGGAAATATATAAACCTAAATTAAATAAACTTCACCTACTTAGTACGGTGAGGATAAACATAGGCAACATTCAGTATTTGTAACTTTTTTCTTAAATTGCCTTGCTTTATAGCATGCTACCAGCCATAACACTCAATAAAACCAAGCAGTGCAAGTTACAAATGCATTAATCACCAATAGCACGTAGCAGGAAATCAAATAAAATAAAAATGAATGATGGCGATAATTCACCCTCAACATGCATTCTAGCTCCTAATGTTAATGCAACATCATGTGGCGCAAATACAAATCTGTATGGTGGGTGTTTTTTTGAGGACTGAAGGAGGGGTACATGATGCAAGTGGCAGAATGACGTGCACACACAAAAAATATTGCTCTCTACACCAATAAATTACATGACAGCAAACCAACCGTGCAAACACTAATTATACTTTCCTTTTTACTAATTGTCTGTGGTCTCTTTTAAGTCCTTTACTACTTGTGCTACAATTTTAAGAGTTTTTGGTGGTGTTAAAAATAACCAACACACCCTCCCTGCCTTCAATTCAAGACCTTTTCTGTTTGTCCCATTCAGCCTGTGCTCTGCTGGAAGGTTATTATAGTCTTGGCATTCATCTGTTGCATTTCTTTCAGAGAATCCACATAAGCAAAATCTGTTGGCAGGAATATTGTTGGTTTAGTATTCAGTAACTTCTAATATACAAGGAACATGATGCTAAAATTAAGACCCTCTGTATGCTGTATTTTCCAATTATTCCATTCTAATAGCAACAGACAACGATAATATAAATCATAGCAACAATTAGGAGTGTATTCTTTGCTTGAATAGACTAGACGACATCCAAATCTATGCAAAAAAAGAGGAAATTTAGGAAGACAGTATGAAACACTATAATAAGACCCTTTACTTTGGCACCTCAGAGGTTATATTCTTGCACTCATGCATCAAAAATCACTGTTAGCCAAGAGAAACTGTGATAAAACCACCGCTCTTTCCCCTGCCCTCCTTTTCACTTACCTTCTGAGGGCTGAGGGGTCCCACAAGGGGTGGAAGGGGTCTTCAGCTCTTCCTGGGACTCTACGGATGCTGGGCTGATGCACTTGGGTACAGGTGAGGATGGGGCTGAAGGAGATCTCAGGTTCAAGGACAGCTCACTTCTCCCTCGGCTTACGCTCCGACTCTTCAGCTCCTTCTCATACTCCTCCGCTGCCAACCTCTCCAAGTATTTGTATCTGAAAGTTAAATTCCAGAGGGTTTCCGTAAAGAAAAAGAAGTCTGTGGCTGATGCTTGTTTATGGATGAAACACCTGCAGAGAACGAGCTGACTTCCTGACACAAGGGGTACAGCACTAAACTGCCTGCCTCCTCAATCTGCCAAAAAACGCACACCAAAGCAAAGACTATTGCCCTGAAAAACATTAAATTGCTCATGACAAAACAAAAGCAAAACCCAGCAGAGTTAAAGAGTCTTTAGACAGAGTATTGTGTCTGCATAGTCCTTCTCCTTTTGGAAGCGTTTGTCTGTCCTCCTTTTCACCCTCCTCCTTCACCTCCTCCTCCTCCTCCCAGCCCTCCCTCTCCCAAAACTAAAAGGGGGGGGGGAAAAAAAAAAAAAAAAAAAGGAAAAAAAAAAAACCCTAGCAAAAAAGCCTCCAAAGCCAGAGCCCCTTAATACTGATGCAAATAGCCAAAGTCTGAGACTTGCTGCAAGGAGAGAAAAATGGTTCAGTGCAGCAGACAAAAACAGATCTCCCTGAAAATAATACCAATAATAAATGTTTGGATTGACTATCTAAAGTCTCTGAACCTGCTTCTATTTGCTCTGAGAGCAATGCACTGGAATTCACTTTGTTCTCTCCAGAGTCTACAATGGAAAGTTTTCTTTTTTTTATTCTAAAAAATTTCTCTGCCGGACTCAGACATCCAATAGCTTGGACCTGACGTCACATGTAGTTTATTCATCAAAGTCACTTTAAAAGAACAAAGATACATCTGTTTTGCATTTTAGGCAGGCAGAACTCACTAACTGTTTATTAAGACCAGCTACCAATCATATTCTTCATAGTGTGCTTTATACATTTCGACCAAAATAACTCTGAAATATGTGCCTCTTCCAGATGTCTGCTAATTTTATCCACCATTATTTGCTAAGGAATAAATTCATGAATACAGCTGGATCGGGCTTTAGACTGTTTGTCTTACCCACAAGTGAACTGTTAAACAGGTTAATCAAGACTACTGCTTATGTCCGTGAAACGCTGTGGTCATCCTCCTCTAACCCACCACTGTAAACACTTCGTAAGAGGGAACACCTCTCCTCCCCCCTTCTGCTCCACTGACAGCCTGAATTAGTGTATGAGGGCGCATTAAAAGCAGGCGGTGTAAAGAAGCCAGCCATATGTGGTAACAAACATGCTTAGTACATATGGTAGCCACACACGCATGCACTTCTGCAAACATTCGTATCAAGCATAGAAACGTGTCTTTGAAGAGCAGTCCTTGTGTTTTCAGAGGCAATTTGCTTTATTGCAAACAGCAATAATGAAGAACAAACTCATTTTCTTTTATTCCTCCAGAGGTATGCACAGGCTTTGAACAAATGCTGCAAGAAAAAGAACCCCTACAGACTCTGGATGAAAATATAACAAGCCACATACTTGTATGGTTATAAAATAGGAACTGTTTACAGTTCTAACATGAAGCCAATTCTCGAGAATCATTTTTGCCTTTTCAATAGAGGAGAAAGCCTTTCGCTGGCATTAGCATAGTGTTTTGTTACAGTTCACGAAGCCAGTCTTTCTTTTAACGTCGGTCACTTACATACTGTGCCCTCCGCCTCCTCACAAGTGGAGCAGACGGGATTTCAGACTCATAAAGAACCATTCAAATCGACCACTTCGCTCAAACAGGTACAGCCCAGCTGGCTGCCGCTGAGGAGGGTTCTGCAGTTTGCCAACGACTACAACAAAGATCTGGATGGATCCTTCTATAACGGGGGGAGCTACAAGGTTTTATTGTCCTCAGCTCTTTTTCAGCTGCTTTAACTTTTTAGCTTCTGTAGCTGCGCGCTGCGCAGCCAACCAGCAAAGCAGAGGACTATCATCAGGATGCGCCTTCTCAAAACGGATCTGGTCATTATACTGAAAGAAAAAAAGGGAACCAGAACAGCAACTCTCACGGCAGCACATCGGCATAACTAGTTATCAAATGGGAAGCCTAATAAGCAGATATACGAGATGAATAAAACCATTCAAGAGTCAGTTATTAACACTTCACACTTGATAAATGACATTTATTTAGGTTATTTTTTGTTTCTGCCCAGTGTCTTAATAACAAATGAATGCCAGCATCAAATACACAAGGTCTCATGAAGACCAAAATCTGAAGGAGTTGAAAGGATGAGCTACCATACCTCTGCTGCAATTAGTTCCTCCACTACAGGACTGACACATTGCGTCTCTATATACTGCCATATTCCTTTAAATCATGGAAACCTGCAGACGACATCGTGCCTAGGTATACCTCATGAACGTGACATTCCACTTACCATCTTTGAGTAGATGAAAATATCATTGCAAGTTCTCTAGGTCTCTGAGCAATGCCCTGAGGGTGACTTAAAATCTTTGTGTACCAACAAAGTCACGGGGTGGAGAGCATTTGAGCTGTATATCACACAAGAGAGGGCTTGGGAGCTCACCTTTCTTGGGTTTATTTTTAAATTGCCATTGGAAAACCCCCAACCAAGCAAAGTAAAAAAGGCCTCAAAACATCAAACAGCAAGAACACGTGAAACGAACGGTGCTGAGTTACACTCAGACCCCTTGAAACTGCAGGAATCTTTCTCCCTCACACCGAGGCCACCCCAGAGCCACTGGAAAAGCGAGTACCTGTACTGCGGAGCTGCAGGCTGACACGATAGTACACAGAATGCTCCAAAGAGCTGGCAGAATTTAGACAAACCAGGGCTTTTAATGGAGCCTTTATTATGTGCTCAATATTACCTCCTTCTACTTTTCCAAACCGGTACAGAGGAAATGTATGACCCAGACTTTAACTAAGATTTTAGCACCTTGGCTATAGCATTTTCTTACAGTCTATGCGTTCTCTTAAAACAAGTCAACATGCAACTTGCTATGGGAAATGAAACTTCATTTGTGCAAAGGTGTTTGTTAAAAAAATAGTTACAGAAGGCCAATGTAATGGACCACTGGTACAAGACTTCACTTGCAGAATTTTTCTCCGATATTTATGTGCTGTCAAAGCAAACATGTGTCTTTCCTCTTTATGAGGAAAAACGGATAGTTTAACATTTCAGTTCAAAAGAGCCCTAAGGATAAAGACATGTTCCTAATGACCAGTGAAACTGTCTCAGACTGCACAGGAGCGGTGCCCTGCTGGTGAACACTTCCCCCAAAATACTCCAGTTTACTTGGCATGTTCCCTTACAACTTCAAAGTGCTGGAGAGCTCGCTTCTAATTTGTTTCAAATCTTGCTGACGAGCACGCTTGCTGTAAAAGGTTTTACTCAGCTAAGGTCAATGTATGATGCCTATGTGCTCTGACGCATTTCATTTCAGAAAATGCTTTAAACTGTTTGTAATTGTTTTGGCTGGAAGCACAAAGGAAAGCCCATCCACCTTTTCTTACTCTTAGAAATGTCAAAATAATTTTTTAACATTAGCTACTTCAGTCACAATAGATCAGACTTCAGTCTGCAGAAACGAACTGCCTGCTGTATGACAATTTTGTGGAAAAAAAACCCCAAACCCCAAAACAAAACGCAGCAATGCAATGATTTCTGAGATGGCTGCTCTCATACTTTGATAATGTAATTCCAGTTCTTAACAATCCAAAAGTATCTCCAGAGAGTAACCTCTAGAGGACCATAAAAGCAGAACTGAAGCAATCTGGGCAATTTTTCATCTACTATTTCTTCAGTAACATGCATATTTTCCAGGTAAAAACAAGAGCTCCCTCCCTCCAGGGTGTAATTACTAGTGGAGGTAGAGATGAAGCTACTGAAAGGCAAAGGTCTTTAGTCGACTATTCCTTGAAAAATGTGCTTTCATAAGCACATAGCTCCCAGCCTAGCCCAGAGTTTCCAAACTATTTAACTGAATTAAAAAAGAAGAAAAAAACCCCCAACCCCCCAGCCTCTTTAAATAAGTGATTTAAATAAAAAGAAAACAATGCCCCAATGATAAACGCTGCTAAGCTTTGTAATGTACTCGCTGATGTTTAGAGAGATTGGCAAACAAAACTTGGCTCCGAAAGATAAAAATATGCTGGGATTGGGTCAGAACCATTTCCATCAGCCTGTGACTGCAGTTTTGCAATGCTTGTGACCCCAATTTCCTTTATCCTCAGTTGCCTTTTCTGACCCTCCAGAAAGCTTGGGACCCCCTCGGTGAGAAAGACAGGCTTATTCAATTTATAACTACACTAAATTTGGGCAAATTTCTGAGGCAAGTGGAGTAAGCTTATTTCCCACACAAATAGATAAAAGATAGATCATCAATCATTCTTAAGCATTCCAGTCCCACTGCTCTTCATTTATTGCTGTGCTTACAGCTGGACTTCATTCTCCTCTTTAACGAAACAACCGCTTGCTTACAGAAGTCTTTTGGAATAAGCGTGTTCTGTGCATGCAGAGTTAAAAATGTAAATACACACAGCTCCACAGTAAAGAATATAGGAAGTGCAAACAACGAAAGGGAAGGATGGATGCATTATATACAAACCTCTCTTCTCTTGCTTGTCTTAGTTCTTCTCTTTTGTCTAAATAATCTCGGCTAAAAAGAGAATTGCAGTAAATTGCAGAGGAAACCAGAACAATAAGGTAAGTAACAGAAGTATAAGTGCAGTAGGAGTAACTGAGAGCAGTACAAACAAGCTGATCAGAGACAACGAAGGCTGTTGCCGACAAAAATTAGTTTGGTTTCGTAAAAAAGGCAGGAAAGTGCGTGTGTACGCTTACCCATGCATACACCACAGGTACGCGTACATCAAATACGTAGTTCGAAAGGTCATTACAAGTAATTACAAGAAACACCCGAAAAGTGAAGAACTTGAAGCACATTTTGAAACCTGGTATCTGAAATTAGATACAATGAACCGGACTCATCCATAATGAGCAGGCAAATTATTGGCCATTAAATCATTCCTCATTTGCTCCACGTAGAACGCCCCGAAGCAGTGACTGCGGCACCTGGCAGGCTAGATGAGGGCAGGGAGCATACCCCATCAGCCCTCTTTCTAATATACCTTTCCTCAGCGTGTTTTAGTTGCCATGGCTGGAAATGGGACAGCGGACTGGCATTACCGAGTAGGACAACTCTTTGTTCTTACAAGGCGCGTGCAGGATCATCAGACAGGGAACAACCTTTCACTGCTTTATTTTTCACCCTCAGTTTTAGATACAAACCCTTCCCGGTCTCTGCTGCCCCTCCCGCAGCTCCTCAAGTAACTCTCACATTTAGCTTTTGCCAAGTCAACTTTGCCGGATGCCCGAGCGCTGTGATTTCAGGCAGGGCTGTCACATCCACAAATGTGGATGCAAATTTAACTCGGAGCACAGCAGAACCCAGTGAATGTCCAGCCTGCCTCAATGTCGCAGCAAGATAGTTCCTTACAATACATTTTTAATATGTTGTTGAATCTGGTGGACAAAACTTTCATCTTATGTGTTAGATTCTTCCACGTCATAACCTGTGACTACCAGAAAGATTTTCAGAACTACTCCATTTATGAATAAACCACTATTTTTTCTCTTTATATTATGTCATCAAATGAATTACTGGTAACCTACTACGCCAATAGCTATCAAATACCTACTTGCAAGTGCTCTTCAAAAGTCCATTAACAGGGAACACACATTACTGGTTCAGGCTATCTCCACATCCTTTGAATCCCTGAACTGGTTATACTTTTATCATATTTTCAGAGTATTCTTTGGAATTACAATAGCTATGGGAATAACTCCAAGGGAAAAAAAAATCTAGGGATTTTTCAGCAGGCAAATTTTAACATTTCTCATTCCCCTCTAACAACTTTCACCCTTCCCTACAGCTGAAGAATAACCCTTGTATTTTAGGACATATTGTTCTATATACGCAACGGGTACAACAGTCCTTCTACTGAGAAAAGTGTTCATTATCTAAAGCATTCCTTTTGCTAGCAATAGCTTATGAAGCTTTTTAACACCTCTCCTAAAACCAAGCTCTTTCACAACTGGTGATGCTCTCCTTTAAATTATCCTCGATTTGTCAATAATGGTGCCAGAACCTAGTGCAATGTTCTCGAGGCAGAGTTGGAAAGAATGAGATAACAAATGAGTCATGATGGTAAATCCAGTACTGCTCACGAGTTTAAAGGCTGTGAATTGCAAGTGCTATTTTTAATCAAAAATACATCTTCAGAGACTGGGTTTCTAGCCAGACTGATGATATGATAATGTAATCCCAAGAACTCTTATGAAACTGTCCATGACTGTTTGCTGTGGCTTTGTCCTCCTCCTGCCAGACTGTTTAATCAACTGTGGGATGTTGTCTGTCTGCAAAGTTTGGTGGCTTTGGAGACCCTCTGCTCAAACACAAGTTATAACTTTTGGGTGACCAGGGAACTCAAATCTAGAATTCGAAAACACTGGGCATTGAAAAATTGTCATCTTAAATTTGCAACACAGTCATGACGTTTAGTTAACTAGTATCTGACTCTGAGCAATGGGATGAAGATGAATATTTAAAAAAATTTGTTTTTCTGACTTTAAGGAAGCTCTTTTAGTGACAGAACAACTACTGCAGCCAACCTCTAGTGAAATGTGCAGATCTGTTATTCAAACAGGTCAAGCTGCCAAATGTCCTGGTGGCTTTTTTGGTCTGGGAGTTTCCTTTCTGAAAGATCATGTTGGCTGTCCATGGCAGCCTGCTGCAGCCTGATGATACCACTTAGAGGGAGAGTTTTTGGAAGAGGCTTGAAGACTGAGACCTGATTGTTTCTGTTTCAGGAGAACTTGGGCAGCTGTTGGCTGCCAAAGATCCTATTATGGTGCTCTTCCACCTTCCCTCCACCTCTCATTTTCTTCTAAACTAGCTATCTTCTGGAGCCAGGAGAGTATCTCCTCCAACCAACCAACCAACCACTACTAAGTTACTCCTCTTTCCAAAATCACTGTGACACAGGCCATTTCCACTTCTTACTAAAGAGATGATTACAGTGAAAACAATCCTGCATACTAATAAACAAGCTCACAGGAAGCCCAGTGCCATCTTTTCCATAAATATCAACTCTAAGGCTATTTATCCTACCATTCTTAAGATTACTACATTATGTCTTCTAACTACTAAACATATGGTTACTTTTCACTCCTGTTTATGAGGAAACAAATTGGTTTCTTAGCGTACACTCTCCAGACAGTAGGCAAACCACTTCAGGTATAGGCACCTTATCTATCCTAAGCCCACTGCAGTCTTTGCTAATGCCTGTGCCGGGATTTCCAGGCATGGATTTAACAGGGGGGAGAGGACTTGCCTCTTACTATTCGCAGGCAGCACAGCCTGGGATCCCAGCGCACACCGCATGGTCTCAGATGTGAAAATGGAGAGGTCTGTATTCAGCTGGGGCCTTTGGCCCCGGTTTGAGCAATAACTTTGATAATTATTTTCTGTCAGTTGCCGTTTCCAGGAGGAAGACACGCATGTTCAGAAAAGCAGGAAAAAGTGCAGTTTAAAAACACTACCACTTTTACTTTGCAGAACATAAAAGCAAAAAGATATCTCATTGCTGTCCCTTCCTCCCATCGTTTCATCCTCAAACCCTATGCCTCACTGAGATTATACTTTGAGAAGGAGTACATTAGCTAATAAAACCTGGCCTCTGCAGATATCCAGTCAGTATAACTGGCAAATACATAGCTATCTGAAAAAAATTGCTGGTTTATTAAATGCCAAAATTCATCTCGATGTGTTTAATAGATCAGTCCTCAAGATACTTAAGAGCAAGAAAGGTACCTAACGAGACACACAAACTCTCCATCAATTCAACTATTCTGCAACTCAATGTCTCAATGATTTACAGACCCATCACGCATTAAAGCAACAGACTGAAAGCAAAATTGGCTCCTACTTGAATTTGTTTCTTTCTTCACGTTCTATCCTTTGCAACCTTTCTTCTCTCTCCTGACGTCGTCTTTCTCTTTCTGCTGCCAAGGACTCCTGGTGCTGCCGAAAAGATGATGTAAGGAGACCACCCAAAGCTGGCCTGCAGAGAAGGAAGATCAGATTTCTCAGTGTCACTTTTATTGATTATACTGGCAAAAAATAAGGAGCAATCATCCAGCAAGTAACATAATCCCAACCAGCAGAATGACATGGCAATATTTATGTATGGATGCTTCAAAGCACTGGCTAAGTATCTTCTTGCTAAATTGATTTTAGATACTGTGATGAGTTTAAGAACGACAGACAGGGTAGGCTTCTTAAATTGCCAAATTTCTGAAGCACAAATAAAGTACGTGTAAGAATTCTTCAGTCTGTTTCAACTGCAATATTGTCTAAATATTTTATTTTTTTTTACTGTATAATCCCGTTGACTGAAAAGCTGAATCCTGTGCTGAATTTTTGAAATTTTAAAGAAAAAAAAAAAGCTGGAATATTTTTTCAGCATTTCCAAACATGTTATGCAATGATGTTAAGAACAGATGTGTCACAAACACCTGAGAAACCTGTATACAGAAAAACAAAAGTAAAAGAAGATGTAAGAACTGCCTTTCAGAATTTGAATGCTCTCTCAAGTAGGGGCGTATTTTTCCTTTATACATTAACAAATTCTGTTATCATGATTTCCTCGCTGCACGTGCTGCAAGAGCAAAACGAATCACATATGTGAACATCAATAAAATACACAGGGACAGCACAGCTAGTTATAATAATCACTAAGTGGCATCAAAATTGCTATTAAAAAAATCAGAGGAAATGGGGCTGAAGGTGAACAGATCACCCATTTTCCTCTCCTTGCCCAGGGCAGGATTTAGTCTTCTTAAACCATTCTTGAAAACTGTGTGTCTGACCTGCCTTAAAAATCCTTAATGATGGATGTACCACACCCATCTATTTCAGTGCTTAATTATGTCTGCCAGCAAGAAAGGCTTCTCTGCCATCTAGCTTAAATTGCCTTTTTTTTTTTTTTTTGCCATTTAGACCAATTTGTTCCTGTTCTGTCCACAGTGAACAAAAAGAACAGTTTGCTACCACCTGCTTCATGGCTAAGCAAGAATTAGTCCGAAAGGGGACTTTGCAGTCCTCTGACCATAACTATGAACTGGATGCTGCACGGTAGGTTACCATAATGAAGGAGGCTCAATGTCACCACAAGCTATGTGTATCAAACTTCCAGCTGTTGTTCAGGAGGCTGTTAAGACGCACGAGATAAGGTGGTAAATGCCCACCCAAAACCGTAGGACTTTTTCATCACAAATGGCAGCCTCTATAGTAATGACTTCTCAAACATAGAAGTGATCTTTTCTTTGAGATGCAATAGCTTCAAGTAGCAAATACACTTTAAAAGCTACATCTATATACACTTATAGTTTGGTTTCGACACAGATTTTTAATTTTTTTCACTGCAAATACTACTTTGGCTAGGAGAGTGGTTCCTCTCGCACATCTTTCCCCCCAGACGGTGGTACTGGTACCACCAACCTCTCACATGGCAACAGAGCGACCTCCGAGTAAAACACGTCTGTCTTTCTGTCTGTTAGACAGGACAAATCTGTATTGTACAGGGTAGCTTTATACAGATGTAAATGTACCCACACTGATTGAATTAAGACTGATAAAATCAAACAGACATAACTCATGTAGAGCGGTTTCTGTGCATTGTTGTAACATGAGTTTTGCAATGAAAGGATTAATGAAAGAAAGAGACACTGCCTTTTCTGAAAAGAAGCTAAACCCCATCTAAAAGAAGGTTCTTAAACCAGCAATGCAAACCCGAATAAATTTCCATTATTTTTAAGAACTCAGACCCTTTCCCTTGTTTATTTACATGCCTATGGCTCCACAATGTAGGCATTTAGTGTAGTGGCACCAGTTCACCAGTGAAAATAGGTGCAGGAGAAGACAAACATTAATGCAAACCTATCTTTCCTGAGTGTCTATGTCTGTGCAAGCAGGAATGCCACAAAACATAGCCATTTCAGCCCCACTGGCAGCAGGGCAGTATGAATATAATTTCAATAATTTCAATAAATTGAATTTCAATATGTCACATCCCACCCGCATAAACATTACATAAGATGGTATAAAACTTGATATTCCGTAAGCTGCCCTGCTGGCACTCCTCCAGAGCTACAGTATCAATGCTGGATCACACTCAAACCCATAAAAATCTCTAATATGCCTCAGCCCTAAGAAAAGGGGAGGAAAAAAATTCCTCAAACCTTGAACATATTTTAAATTTATTTTAACTTTTGACCTTTTAGTGCATGTTGCAAGGGAAAGCTCTCAGCAGAAACAGTAGCACACTGTACTAAGATTCAAAAGCTAGAGCTCCATCGCTGTGGTAGCATGAAAAACCATGGCAATAAGGTTGGATATATCATCAGAAATTGCTCTCAGAAGGGGAAAACTGGACCAGTGTCTCCACATGAAGACATCTGGAAACAAACTGGAAGAGATGGCAAAAAGAGGGTCCCTATCAAGTCTGTGCTGTGTATTTAGCTTGCTATCCCATCCCGTCCTACCCCATCCAGCTACCCTGAAGTCTGCAAACTCCATTTGGAGTCAAAGGAAGTTATGACTTAATAAAACCCAAAGGAAAATTAAGGGGAAGGATGGGGTGATGCTGAGAGACCAAAAGAGTGACTGTAGGTCTGCACAGCATCTCGCAAGTTGGAAACCTTCAGCTCTGACTAAGCTCTCTGGGGCTCCACAGTAAATACACATCCTTATCCCGGGGATTACGGGGGAATCACATGGAGATGTGCAGCTTAGTCTTGCAGACGGGATTCTAACCTGACCCTGGTAGTAAAATGTCTCCACATGCCAAAACACCTTGTTTGGAGGTTTGATCTAGCACAGCTTGGCTAGCGTTGCTCACTCGGCTAAAATTTGCAGATGTGTGACCAGCAGCCTCCCAATCTCAGTAAAAGATCCACAGCCATATAGCCAGAAAAAAAGCCAATGTCTAAGAAACTGAAAATGAATATCCGTGTGCCATATTAGTTTGCCACCTCTTGGAAACTAATCAAATCAATAATACTAGCCAAAACTTGGTACTTCCCACCAGTTATTTTATGAGTCCATACTTCAACTGAGTTACAAGCTACAGTATAGTGTGCACACACATACCTGATTCAATTAATTTGTCCCAAACACGGTCAGTTCTGGACTACCATATTGCATACAACAGTTTATTGCATGAAATGGTCAAAACTAACAGTCAAAGCTGCGAGAAGGTTCTGTTGAAACAGGTCGTAATTAAACAGACAGGAATATGGCCAGCTGACTCCTTGCGTGGCACTGACTTCTTAAAACACAAATAGTCAGGTTTGGGATTTTCAGTCACATTTAGAAAAGGACAGGCAAAGAAATAGCACTGATACCACTGAGTTAGTGCTCGCTTAGAGGTTAGACCCTGCAGTGTCCAGCCCACTTGACCGGACACATCTCCCCTCGGTGAAGACCACAGCTCACTCCAAACACGGAGACCATTTGCCTTACGAAACCTCATTAACTCACAGCTTCGCTGTTGCTATCAAACACTGTAACTCAGCTGGTATTTGGGTGCATCAATCCTCTTTTTAATACGAACTGCAACTGTAAACGAGCAGATTTTAGTATCTAGTAAACTCTCCTTAATTTTGTACATGTGCATAAACTAAACCTGGAGGAAACAGGTGCTACTTTCAGGGTGTGCAAACCTGTAAAACAGCCAGAACGAAAAGCAAGCGGTAAGAGGTATTCCTCAAATATTCTAAACAATTTGAAAAGGGATTTGTCTATCTTTGGTTTGTCTGCAAAACTTGTTTCTTTGTCTCTGTATTCCCCGGTAATAACGCTTAAAGTAAACGTTCCCTTTTGCTGAACTCATACTTGAATTGCAAAAGGCAGCAGGACGGGCCAAATCTGCCGGCGGGAAGGCTGGGGCTGAGCCTTCAGGTAATTCTGGTGCTTTGATGCTGTATAAAGGGTGACAGTACCCTTAGGCCTCAGGAATATTGAAGTCTTACTGCCGTAGGCTGCATTTTAAAAATGGGTAAGCAAGGAAAAGGCTAAAAAATATTCTGGCATTGAATCAAAGGCGGTAAGAGATTTTAACAGAAAAGAGTATGTGAACACTCACCAAAAGCATAACAGAGTGATCACTCAAAAAACAGCGTTATAGCTAATATATGCCAGCATTTTAATGTTGGTATCATATGCTACCAGCTGGTAATGTCAACCATTTTTTCAATTCCGCAAATACAACCCAGAAGGATGCTTACGCTGACTACTATTTTTAGTCTTGTAGAGAACACAAGGCTATTAAGAATGGATTGTTAATATAAAAACATTAAGAAAACCTTGCTTCTGCCTGCTGTTAAAACCAGCAAAAGCTAAACAAGCTATGCTATTACAGTCTCATTCCAGAAAGAAAACACACAGCAAGAATACGTCTAAGTCTGGGGATTTGTGAATACAGCTCCACACCGCAGCATTAGAACCTGGGACCAAGAGGTCATTAGTTACTTATCTGGTTGCAAGAAGATACGAAAGAGCAAAGAACAGGAAAAAAAAAAAAAAGAAGGAAAAAGAAGGCAACAAAAATATACACAGGGCAAAGGGTACAAAGCCAAAACATTGACTGTAGGCCAAAACTATTCTGAATATAAATTCAGCTAACCTGACCTACTGCATTTAACACAGCAGCAAATTAGTAATCATTATGAAAAGCACAAGCTCAGGGAGACACAAGATATCTCACCCTTTTTTGCAAGTACTTCCAATTTTCCGACAATACTCCATCACAGACTATACACTGTGAAGGGGAATATGTGACCTGAATTACTCTAACCTTGTTGAAAATTGAAGAAAATATTTCTGTCTTACTCTAAGCCACTTTGTTATAGAAAAATCGCAATTACTAACTTCAAATGTTCTTCATTCACGTTAATTCTGAAATACTCTTCTTTTGTGGCTGCGTTTTCCTCTATTAGTTGGATTTTTTTAAATTTGCTAAATGGAAATGGATATCTATAGCAAGAATACAAAGTACAAATG